TGGCTTTTGAGGAGGAAGTAGGGTCCCCCGGGGGCTGCAGCTAATAATCAGCTGGTGTGGACATGGTTCAGTACCACCAGCACAGCTGTGTGTCTGTCCTCAGCCGCCCACAGACCACGTGCTCGGCTACAGAGCAGGCGCTCAGTGAAGATGGTTGGCTGCCCTCCCTTTCCGAGGTACCTTCAAATGAATGATGTGCCCCTTGGAGACAATGCCCATGTCCTTCAAGTCTTCTTCCTCCAGGAGCAGCAGCCGCTTTCCCGTGATGTTGTTCTCCTTAAACAAGCTCGCGTACACGCTCATCTCTGCTGAGGAGTCACCTGGAGGGAGGGAGTAGAAGGCAGAATAAAATTAGATGACATCGCGTCCACAGCAAAGTTAACTCCATGAATGAAGAAGGTAAATTAGTCCACTTGCCTTTTCTGACGAGCTGCTGAACCCACAAATACTGTGAAAGAGAGGACATACAGAGTTTTCAAGATTCATACATGATCCACAGCCAGACTTAGCAGTAAAATCCATAGTTCTCAAGAGGTTAAAATAGCTTTAATTTTGGCTCAACCACAAGGTAAAACAGAAAATTTTCTTTTTATGATTTTAAAACTTCAAGCTTTCACATTGGAGCTCCTTCTCTCTCTCTCTTTGGGGGTCTTGGACACTTGACGGATGTTGGTTTTCCTCCTTATCTGGGAGGAAAAAATATTTTAAAATCCTTTCAAGAAGGTTCTCATAATGGTTTTCCATCTGTGTCCCCGGGGCTGTTGAGGGGCACTGGTTTAGCCAGAAATTGTATGAGTAACAGGGACCACACAGCAGTGGACAGGAAATGGGGAGACTTTGTCCTCCGCTCTGGACCTGGTCACGAAGGAGGTATGTGGCCCAGACAAGCTAACGCATGGAGCTTCTTATGTAGGATGCGTTTGGATCCAGTGCTTGGATTTCACTTGGCACATGTTCACTGGTAGCTTCTCACATAACCCTGGTCAAGGGAGATAGAAGGGAGGCCAGATCCAGTCCCACCAAGTCTTTGGAGGGGGGGCGGGGGGCTTGATCCTGGAATTTTATTTAAATGGTTTGAAAACCACTGAACCCCAGGACAAAGACTAAAAATAGCCTTTAAAAAACTTCTTCTCAAATTCGATGCACCAACGCTGCAACTGGGGATAAAGGGATTCTATCCATGCTCTGAACAAAGGAGATCCTATGACCTCTTTCCCTGTTAAGCAGGAACCTTAGAATCACCAGGGCTGAGCGAATGGGACGAAATAGATGCAACTGGTACCAAGTTTCCTTTCCCTGTAGAAGCCAGAGGCCAGCTGATGTTGAAAGCACTTTTACTTCCCCAAACACGAAGGTGGGAGGGAAATGCCTTGGCCCAGAAACCAGGCTGAGTTAGGTAAACAGACCTTCCCAGGAGTTTCTGGTGGTGAGTTTGTACCTGTGGCACCTGGCCCATTTCCTGGGGCGGGGCCTGCTAAGGCTGACATGACAGTTTTCCCCCCTTCTTTCTCATTTAATGAGACCTTGAGCACAAGGCCCTGAGGTCTCTGATCCAGAATTCTCAGACCGTTTTTCACTCAGGAAACAGATACAGAGATACAAAGGGCTAAGTAGGACTTTCCCTCAGGGTCTCTCCCCGAGGGTGGGTGCAGGACTTCCTTTTGGCTGAGTCTGCCCACTTCTCTCAAAAACCTGGGGCTCCTCTGGCTCCAGCTGCAGAGAATGTCCGAGAGCTCATGCCCATTCCTCCTTGGGGAGGTCAGAGTAAAGATGGCAAAATGGAACCTGTCGCTTTTGAACTGGCCTAAGGCGGGAAGGAAACCCAGTTAGGAGGATCGCAGTGCTGCTGTTACCAGATCTTTCTCCGCCGTGGTTCAAGTCCATCCCTGGTAATTTTAGGAAAACTTAAGATCATTTTTTTTTTAAAGTGTGTTCATTTGGTATCCCAGACCAGCCCTTTCCTTTTGTCATTGGGATTCATTATTTTATTCTGGGACACCTTTCAGAGCAAATAGGGAGGTGGGATGCTGTTGTGAGATGTGAAGGCATACTTGCTTTGCTCTTGAGGCCTTATTTTAAACATTGCTGCATTAAAAACAGACAAGCATGGAATCTGTCCACTTCTAGTTCCTGAGGCGTTTGTAACTTGCGGACACACTGACTGAACACCTGTCCAGGTCGTCTGCCGCGTTAGCAGAAGCAGCTTACCACGTCATCCTCGGTCCATGCGCCAATCTCAAAGGAAGGCAGCAGCTGCAGGGGAAACAGGAATGAAATAGAACAAGCATATTATCATTGTCCCTTTGGGTTAGCCCCTTGTCTGTCTCAGCTCTCGGCTGCTGCTCTGGTTGGTTCCTCCTGCCGGTGAGGTTGAACAGAAAACAAGTTTCCTGACCCTAAGAGGAGTTTTCAGGGCTCCACGGATTTTGCCCACAGAAGCCAGCCAGGTGCAGCCACCTCTCTGTAACCATTCACTGCTCTCTGTGAGCTGCAGGGGCCAGACTCAGTACATCCTGAGATTTTTCTCTGTTTGTACTTGGCACACCGAGTCCTTTCATATCCCACAATAGGGCTTGGCAGTCAAGGAATGTCTGGCATTTGTCAGATGCCAGGGCGTTCTTCGGAATTCTCAGTCAACATGAGGATCGCTTGATTATTAATGAAAATTCCAAAGCGACCATTTGGTAACCAGACGACTCATGCTTATTCTTACAGGAGAATGTCTAAGTGTTTAACTCAATGTCTTGCTTGCATTATATTTTTTAAAAAACAAATATTAGGAGACAGGGATGAAGAAGGACAAGCGAAACTGGAACTGCTCTAAGCAGCCCAGGCTGCAGAGCGGCTCTAACTGAAACAAACAAAACTCCCTCCCTGTCCGGTGGGCAAACAGGAGAGGTCACTTCGCAAGAGGACCTCAGTTGGCACCATTTCAGAGCCAAAAGGCTACTCCCTTCAGTAATGCCCCGTGGCCATAGTAAGAAATCCTATATAACCTGAAAAACACCTGGGTCTCCTGTGACTTGAATTAGAGTTTGATAGAACCGCCAGCTTTAACTAATGTAACGTGTCAAAATGGTTGAACTGCTCATGAGATAATTGTAGCAAGGTGCTTTTTAACCTCTGTTACAAATATTTTTTGTGTGGGTGAGCTGGGAAAAAGACGAATTTGGTTATTTTTAATATTAGTGTTAAAAGTCAGAGGGTGGGTGAGTTAATATTTTAACCTGCAGGTATTTTGAACTCACAGGTTCAGACCCTGCTCGGAATGGCATGGCTCTGACTACAAGGAGCTTTTCACTGAAATGGGGGGAGGGGGGTAAAATAGGTATGAATTACACATGGAGGATCAAGGACACCCTCCTCTTGGGTTACTCAGTGCCTAGCCCGGCGTCTGGCATACAGTACCTGGTAAATTTTTGTTGAACAATTTGTTGAGTGAATAACACTGAAGGGTGTATTTACTAAAATGCTAAGTTCTCCGGTGTAGAGTTCAGTGTCTATGGGTATGCCAGGGAAAAGGGAGGCTTTCATTGACTAAGATGGGGAAATGGAAGGCATAGTGGCTTGAGCTGGGCACTGCAGGGCAAGGAGAAGAGGAGGCGAGAAGCAACAGGGCAAAACACCGGCAGTGGGGTGGGGGTGGGAGAGGAAGGATGGGCAGGGCACATTTGCCTAACCAGGGCACCAGAGGCAGTGTGTGTCTAAGAATAAAGAGAAATAAGGCCGACTCTGGGGGCCAGGCAGAATTTAAAAAGCCCCACTGATTACAGTGACTATGAGCGTGTGGAGTCTGAGTATTATAGATACGTTGCAAGGGCATCATTTCTACTGCTCTCTGTAGACTCTGCTGCCCTCATGTACCCCTCCCCTGGGGATTGCCCCTCCCCTTCTCTGAAACGCCCGGTGTGTGGCGGAATCAGTGGCCACAGCCACTCACCTGCTGTAACAATGGGGAAAGGAAAACGACGGGATGAATAGGATCTAATCCAGTGGTTCTCAACCTTCTGGCCCTTTAAATACAGTTCCTCATGTTGTGACCCAACCATAAAACTATTTTCGTTGCTACTTCATAACTGTAATGTTGCTACTGTTATGAATCGTCATGTAAATATCTGATATGCAGGATGGTCTCAGGCGACCCCTGTGAAAGGGTCGTTTGACCGCCAAAGGGGTCGCGACCCACAGGGTGAGAACCGCTGCTCTAAACTGAACTTCACCGAAGAAAATACATGACAAGGTTTATTTCTTCGCAGGGCAGCTGGATGCAGCTGCAGAAACATGCCATTTCCTTTTCCCATAACGGAAACCAATGTGAAGTAGGGAACTTTCCTGATTAGTTCGAGAAACAACAGACGAAGTTACAAAAATATTTCCCTGCATCAGGGCTGGCTTTTCGAGGGAGGAGAGGGATGTGCAGTGTGTTGATTTTTACACCATTCCCAAATGTTGTGCTAAACAAACTGGATCCATAATTATTTCTTGATTGGAATGAAGGTTGTAAAAGAAATAACTTATCAAAACCAACACCTTCGGTTTTAATGTCAAAAGGAGAGAAGAGTTTCGGGCGCTCTGAGGGTGGCTCCTGCAGAGGATGCCCGGGAAAGGCCTGGGCTCAGTGTGGCACCCGCTCTGGCGAGGCTCCTGCAGGTGCTGGCACAGACCAGCCAGAGGAGGCGCTGCTGCAGGGCGGCTTGGCTGTGGCAGGACAGGGGAGGAGAGTGAATGACCTCCAGCCACGCAGCGGCGTCCTGTCTCCTTTATGTGTTCTGTACCTTGTTAACATGTCAGTGTAGGTGCTGAGGGTGCGTTCCAAGCCTTCCTGTCTCTCTTGGGGGATAAGAAAAAATCCCCCACCTGTGACTGGACCCGGTCCCTTTACAAATTCATCACTCCGCCCGATTTCAGGAGAGAAAAGCTCACGCTCACGTGCATGCGTGTGACTTCAAAGGACGCCGGGAGTCTAAGATGTGATATACACAGTAACACGGAACAAAGGGTTTACTGTCAAAACGTTTATTGTAAAATGGAGTCTTAGAACAAAGGAAAGCAGAGTTCACATCAAAATGAAATTTACGACACCAGCTTGGATTTCTGAATACATTGTGGACTTTGTGCCGGAATATCAAATTCCAACGATGAAGTCAACAACTGAGTAGTCTTACCACACAAGAGTAAAATTTAATCTTCCATACAAACATTACATAAGATTTTGGCATAGGACTTCCTCAGAATAACATTGCAGTAGAATAATTGAGAAAAAAAAATGGTTAAAAAAACAAACAAAAACAAACCCCCAAAACAGTAAAGTGATAATGCCATCTATTCAAAGCTCACACTCAAAGAATATAAATATTTTCTATTATTTAGTACAAAATTTTAAAACAGTGTAAAAGCAATATGTGCAGTGTATTGTATCTGACATGAAACGATATATTATTCTGCACACGATGTAAAATAATTAATGTAGGTGCTTGAAACTCTACTTTGAAGTAAATAATCACATGCCAGAAAGCTCCTCACAGGCAATAGAATGCAAATAAGTTGGAATCAGAGGAAACATGGCTAGTCCTTCAGATTTCCTGGTAGACACTCATTGTCATCACAGAAATGCTGCATCTAGAGCCGCCAGGCTATGCCCCAGTCCAAGCACTGAACATCTAAGCAGGAAACCAGTCTTACTCAAAATCAGTAAAAGGCACCTGATTATAGAAACATGTCTGCTCTGTTACATACGTGGTTTGGTGAGACTGCTAATTTCAAAAGGCTGCAGCAAGGTTAGTGTATCACAACAATTGAGAGTATCAGTATTTAACTCAGAATAAGTTTTAAAGTGACCTTTCACGAAATTCCTACCACTCCAATGAAAACTCAGAAAGTAATCCTAGTGCTCCAGAAGTCCTTCTGGATCTCTCCCAACCTTCTCCCACCTGCAATTCCTTGATTTTAATGGGGTTCAAGATGGCATGCTTCAGCTGGTGTTAAAGTCTAACTAATCTGCTGCATGTTAAAGATCGCTGGCCAAACCCAGCCTTCAACAGTTCGACAGCTTCGAAAACAAGAGGGCCACGCGCCTGCAACCTCTTGCCACTGGTTACTTACGTAAAATATGACATTGTGATTGGAGGGAAAAGGGCCCTTTTAAATGAAGCCGGCCACTTTGCAGAGCTGTAGCTACCTCAGTGATGTTTTCCTCTAGTTATTGTGGCGTTGGGGTAACAGGAGAGTAAACCTAGCTGTTTCATAAGGTTTCCACCAGCATTCTTATGGGGAAAGAACCCATTCCCACAAGTGGAGATTGAAGATAAATGCCACAAACCTACAAAATTCAGATTGTGCAGCTGAAATTCTGAAAAATGCATCTTTTGACTCAGGTGATTTTGTTTGAGGTAAAACGATTAGACATGGAACTCTAAAACTGCCAGGTTTAGCAAGTTTCTCAGTGGAGGAAGGGACGATGGAATTATCTACTGGGTGTAACTGTCCCGGGCATTCGGGATGTTACCATTTGTGGCACTGGGCACTATATATGCCCTCAGTCACATGACACCCAGCACTCCCGATCACCCTCAGATGACAGCACTACCTCGGCTGAGAACCACTAGTAGGTGTCATCAAATTCTACAGGATCAACTTTATGAGTAAAGGGGAAAAGATGAAAGAGTAATATGCTCTCAGTTGTATGGCTCCAACAATTATACTACAATTCAGAGTTTCAATTCTTATTTTGAATCTTCAAACTTATGTTTCTTTCTCTTACAAATGTACATTTTTGTAAGTCAAATAATTGGAAATAGAGCAAACACCAATAACTTGCCATTTCAAAAACTGATCTGAAAAGTGTATTAATTAGAAGCTGCACAATTAACATTAGGTTTTCTCCATATGGCTTTATAAAATTAATGAAACGAATAATAGAGTCTAAAGTTTTCTCATCTTCACAGAGTGAGACTACTTTAAAATTCCGCTTATATGATTGGGGTTTCCGGAATGTTGGAAACCCTAGGAAGATGTTGCTTTGGGACAGAATGTAGAATAGCCAGTGCCATATGGTCACTACCTGCAGCCTAATTCTCGGGGGGGGGGGGAGGGAACAGTTTCAAGCTTGATCCTGAGGGGCTCAACCTGCTGGATCCCGAGTCCTTGCCGTTTCTTGATGGCAGAGGACTGAGTTATGACCATCTTTGGAATATTGGTGGGAAATGGCAGCAGGTGAAAGAGTAACGGATATTACCTAATTAACGGTAAATCGAGGTCTGGTATGGAGTCCTATTACCTTCTCGTTTGGCCCCACTTGGCTGTTTTTACTAATGCAGCAAAACTTTGTGTGTAATCATAATAGATTTACATGTAAAGCCAAAAAAGTCAGTTTCATTAAGTTCGTCTGTTCTAAATTTATTGCTGATTATTCCTAAATAAGGGGCAAGGTTTACATTCTTCCATCAAGTGCACAGATCCCAAATTTAGCCCATCGAGAGTCCCTTGTCAGCGAGGCCTTTCCTGACCAGACATGAAAAAACCTCAACACTCCCCATGGGCCTTATCTTCATTCCCTGTTCATTTTGCAGCACGCACTTAGCAAACATTCCCATTCTATACGGTGTATTAGTGTTGTTTATTGCTGCTCTCTGCTCTCTAGCACGTAGGCTCCACACGTGCAAAGATTTTTTTGTCTAGCTGCTCCCTAGAAGAGCACCTGGCGCAGAGAAGGGGCTCAGTGAGTATCTGTGGATGAATGGCTATCTTTGCCTGGTAAAACGTGCAAGAGGCTTTTAAACGACCGTCTTTGGCTCTCTCCTTCAGGTTGCTAAGCCACAGTGTCCGAGGGCAGGCTGGGAAGTCAAGAGTTGAAAACCGTCCCTTCTGCTCCACTCCAAGACTTTCTGCTTGAGCGGCTTGGCTTGAGTCAGGGAGCAGACAGGATGCTTGTTGAAGTGTGTGCCCATTAGTCACCAGCACTCTATTGTGGTGTGCGTGTATCAGAATGGGTATGTGGGAACCCCCTTTCCAGGTGAAAGCTTACCTATTCTTTCTGTATTTACCTAGTCTGTGGGTGGTAGCTTCAAAGAGCAACAGGATTAACCTATAGCTCACACTCTTTCCGGAAAGCAATCAATATTTAATTTCATTTCATACTAAATAAATATCACTTAAAGTCGATAGTTTTCCAGAAGGTTACTGAAACCATTTATTTTTTATTGTCTTTTCACTGGAATAATTACAGCAGCTAACATTAACTGTCCATTTACCATGGGCCTGGTTACTTAAGTGCTTTACATGTATTATTTAATAATAATAATAATAATAATAACAATCCTCACAAAAATTCTTTAAAATAAATCCTATTATCATTCCCATGTTAGAGATGAGCAAACAGACACACAGAGGTTAAATAATTTGCCCAAGATTGTACAGCAAGTGGACGCAGGGCTTTGAATCATGACCTGACTTCATATCCCTCTCTTTATCACTCTACTTATATAGGCTGTTCTACATCTTGCACGCAGAACATTTTATTCGTTATTTTTCTCCAAACAAAGCTGGAATAGTGTACTGATCATTTTGTGGTATTTTTCAGTTTTTAATGGGGATTAGAAGCACGCCATGCTTCAAATTCCAAGAGGCTTTTTATGATCAAATATACTTGGAAATAGGATTAGATAGTATCTATGATGATATCCTTTCTTAAGTCTTCCATAAAAAGAATCACCAAAAGTGCTTTGATTTAATAGTCAAATGAACAGTTCTGCTCTCTAATTAAGGCTGGAAAAAAAGTCTTTGTTCTTTTGCCTTTTAAAAAAAATATAACTATAAATGTTCTGTAGTTTTTGTGTTTTTTTTTAAATAACCAGTGTTTTATAGTTTAAAAAAGCTTTAACAAATAGGTGGTAACATTCAGAGATGATCTCCAGGTTTTTACAGCTGCGCCTGCATCTACTTCTCTTTAACTCCAGCATCACTTAGGGTTTAAAACAGACAGCCCCGGAAGGCTCCATCTGATATTAAGAAGAACCCTTCCTTTTGCACTTTTGCCAAAGTAGTGAGGACATATCTTTGCCATTCCTTTTATAATATTTATTTCCTTCTTTAAAAAATCTATACATATATTTAGGATCCAAGATTATCAGGCCCCTCTGGAAAACAAACACGCATACGCCCTTACCAGCACTGCAGGGCAGACCTGTGTCAACACACTGCCTGCAAGGGTCCCTCTAAGACCATATCCCTGTCTGCACACAGGAGAAGGTGAGCCTTAGATGACAGTTGTTCAGAAGCTTCCAGGGCTAGCACTGGTTTGAAAGCCTGTGACATCTGCTGCTGTTTTCAGAAGAGAGTATTTCTCCTTCGAATGTACTATGGAGAACATCTCTCAGGTCTCACTTGGACTAGTTGTGCTATTAAGTATTGAAAGTTCTCGGCATATAGGTATTTCTGAGGAAGTATTTGTTAAACCTTTCATTTCAATTTTTTTATTGTTGGATTTTTGTAGTCACTGCCAATTATTTCTGACAGGACAGTGTATCGCCTTAAGAAAAAAAAAAGTAGTATGTTACAAGAAATGAAGTGTCAAAAAAGATTAGGAGTTAAGAGTGCTTGTTCAAAACGTAAGTTTTCCTAGGCAACTGAATAAACGAAATAAAATAAAATAAAATACAAGCTGTAAAGTATTCATTAAATTAAAAAAAGCCAGAATGTCATTAGTTAAAAATCCTATATTGTATATGGAATCACAAGTTTCTATAATCAGGCACCACATTTGCTGATTCATATGCCTTTTTGGCTTGATTTCCCCCACCCCCATGTTTCTATAAGCAAAAACAAATCAAAAGTAAAATCAATAAAGAAATGACTGTTATAGAAATGCAATTGGCCTACAAATTCTTGGTTTTCTACCTCCTTCCTGGCTTTTGTACAGACTGAGATAACAAGTTTATTTTCTTTTTCCAAACATTTTCAATTTTATTACTTCGCTTTCTGCTTTCATTCACTATTATCCATGTCATTATCCTCCTCATCACCATCATCATCATCATCATCATCGTCACCTTCTGACAAGTCAAACTCACTGAACCCCAGGGCCATGTTGACCTTCTTCCCCTTTCTCTTAGATGTGGTTTTAGAAGAATTCTGCTTGGCTTGCATGTTTATCTGCATCCCAGAATGCAGCACAGCTCCTGCTTTGTTCATTGAGAAGATATCCCCAAAGCCCATCAGCATCATGGCCTGCAGGCTTTGGTTCATGCCATGGCCCTCCCCGTTACTTGTTGCTGTGATCTGACATGACATCTCTGCACTGTTTGACTCCTCTGTCTTAGATTCAAAGTAAGACTCCTCAGACATTCTTGCAGCAAGAGGCAAGAGAAGCTATCACAAGGGAAGAGAGGACAGAAGTAAAAAGAGAAATTAGGATCAATTTAAACAAAGGAAAACAGATACCACAAAATTAGCGGGCACTGCACAGAAGGTACATGATTAGGGAAGTAAATGAATCCAGGGAATTATGGGAGAATTTATTTATTGGCATGTTTGGCTGCAGGAGATTTGCCATAATTTATAAATGACAGAATCAATCACAACCCAAAGTTTGCAAAGCACTGTTGGAAGCCAAATTTCAAATGGGAAGAAAGTTGCACATTTTAAGCCTTCATTTTGCTTAAAACAAAATAGTTTTTAGGATTTCTCTTAATTTTTCCCAATTTCACTTTCATCGGAGAAACATTGTAGTTAACTAGTATATTAAAAAAGAAATTAAATGGAGATGAAATCTCAAGTAAAAAAATCAAGACACCTTGAACCAAAGAAGAAAAGCGTAGAGGAAGCATGGAAACAGCTCAGCAGCCAATATAGTTCTAAAAAAAAGTGGGTCATTGATTACCCTTTTTTTCATTAATTACCCTTTTAGCTAAATTAGGATCTGAATCTAAACCAAAAAATGAGGCCAGAATTCACTTGTTTCCATTTATTATTTATTACAGCTAGATAAGATATAATACTAGTTATCTGATTTATGAAACAATTTACTTGTGAATAAATTCTAGATTCTGTCTCTAATAGTTATGTTATAAACAAGTACATCAGTCCATGTGAAAATTGGGAGGAAAGGGAATTACTGCTAATTTAGATTGTTACCTTTTTTTCTCTATTCTCTACTATGTAAGAATAGAGAATACTAAGAATTTCTTTTTTTGTACGGTTTTATTTTTAGGAATTCTTCTTTTCACAGTGGATACAGACATTTATTTTTCTACCTTATGTAATTATGTTGAACAGCCAACCTATTTCCATAAATGTTGGTCAGATTCATTTTGGGAGTAGAACTGTTTGGCTCTGAAAAGTGTTACTGCCTCTTTTCTTGAGAAATAAGCAAATTAAGGCTTATATTTTTGGTGATGTTTAAACATGGGTAAATTTATGATAATGTACAAATATATCACTGTGGGGTGACCTTTACTTTCTAGGAATAAATATGCATTTCGGGGCCAATTTTCTAACTTTTAAATTAAAATTGGAGCTGAGTTTTTAAAAAATCCTACTCTATGAAGAAAAGACTTCTGAGGTTGTTAGTTCAAAAAGAATTTCATCTAATTCTTCTATAGAAAATAATGGCTTTAGATCCTTTAACACTGGAAACAGGATATTATTTTCCTTGTAGTCAAATTTCCCAGCTTCACAAATTTGGTTTCAGTTGTTAGATGCTCTTGGGAAATTCTTTGTTGCTTGTTTTTTTTATTATCTTATGGGTCCTTCCTCACATTATATTAAGATCTTAATAAATGTCTCTCAAATAAGCTTTTACTCTTAAAAGAAATAAAGTTTTTTACATCAAGCTACAATAATATAATAATTATAAAATAAACACTATATATATATATATATGTATATATATATATATATATATATATGAATTCATCTTCCCAAATATCTTTAAGTAATATTTTAATTTCAGGGAAGAAAATAGTGTCCTTCCTCAAAATAAATCCAATAATACAATTTTAAAGAGGTATGTCCATTTTAAACTTCTATAATTAAGATGAAGCTACCGACAGGAAACTTAAATCTCCAGCCACTTCCTTTTTAAAAGCTTTATCTTATCCTTCTCTCAGAAACCTCATTTACACTCATCTAGACACTGGTGTGAGGATTAAAGAAAATACCTACTTATAAAGTACCTGAGCACAAACTTTCTTTCCTTCAGAGTCACCAGCTCCGAGCAGAAGAGACATTAAAGGCAAGTATGTAAAGAAAGAACACTTAGCGCTCACAAGTAAGAAAAGGGAAGAGAATCTCGCTGAGACGGTGCTTCATGCTGGCCATTATTAGATGGCGGCCCTCAGAGCAGCTCCTTTACAGAAAGTTTTCTGCGGTTAAAATGCAGCATACAACCCTCTGAGCACTCCCAGCGTTTCATTCTTTATTACACAACTACGTTACTAATAATAGCAAGAACGTGTGCAAGGCAGCCCATGATTTCTTAGCAAAACGAATGCCAACAAACCAAAGAAAGGTTCTAAAGCGTACTCTAAGAGGTGGTGTAAAGTTTGCTCTTACAACGCTACGTTTACAGTCAAGCCATGCAATGCTTTATAGCTGAAGATTTCAATGTACTGGGAAAATACAAACAACTCAGGAAGATGGCCGGGTTTCTGCATCTCATCCGCTCTGGGAAGAGCAGAGCTCCTTACAGGTCCTAGGGCAACGCTTTCTGAGCTGCCTGTTGGCATCAATTCAACCAGAACAGGAAACTTCCCTGACTTCTTTCTCAGGAGCCAAGTTAAATTCACTGAACCTATAAAATGTGGTACCTTTTTAATGTCCACGATAGTCTGAACGGATAGCAATTCAGGTTTTACTTTGGGACTCCCTGAATTTTACTTTTCTGAAAAAGTAAAATCCGATAAGAAACATTTACCTTCACTGTATTTTCCCTTTTTTGGATATCAGGTTGCTTTTCCACATAAATGGGAAAAGGAGGCAAACTATTTTATTCTTTAGACACTGGAAAATACTTTGCAATTGAGCATTGACTGCTTAAGGGAGATTAAGACTTTTAAAAATAGGAAAGCTTTTTAAGATCATGAAGTGAAGGGCATTTATGTATTTCTTTTGGTATAACTGCCATAGCAACTATCAAGAATAAATGTAAAATATATTACAAATGTACTTTTAATCTTACCCTTACTAGTGGACAAATATGACCCATTAAAAAACCTGGAAAAACCAATGATAAATTTATACTTCATTTCCAAAATGATAAATCATTTAAAATAGAAAAGAATGCTGAAATTTGATTAGACTTTAATATAACACAGTGGTTCTCAACCTTGGCTGCACATTAGAATCACCTGGGAATCTTTTTAAAATCCTGATTTCTGGGCCTCATCCTCCGGAAATTCTGTTTCTTTGTTATGGGGTGGGGCCACAACATTAGTAACAAAGAAACATAATTTCCAGAGGATGAGGCCCAGAAATCAGGATTTTAAAAAGATTCCCAGGTGATCCTAATGTGCAGCCAAGGTTGAGAACCACTGATATAACATATCAACATATAAGTTCAAGGTAAGTGTATAAATAGCAAAACTCATAAAAAGAATTTTTATTGTCCTTGAATTACAAGGCTTGGAGTAAACCGAGATATTTCCTAGGTGTATTAATACTGGAGGTCTTTTACAGCCCATGATCATAATGCCAAATTGAGTAAGGAACATTAATGCTTGTCATTTATAAGTCATTAAATTATCTCTCTTTTAGAAGAAAAACCTGGTGAGGTTCTGACACATCAAAGACTTTCTTAGACTGTGTTTCACTTATTAACTGATGAACTTTAAAGAGTTTAGCAGCATTAAGGCACATGTTCTGGGCAGCTAGCAGATGGTGTGAAAATACATTGGATTTTATTTTTGTAATTCTAATATATGAACACCCTGACAGAATAATAGTTCTTAGGGAAAGAGCCAGAAATAGAGTAAGCTTTTCTTCTACATTTTTGGCATTTTGTAACTGAAATGAGATATGAGTTCTACTTGAGTATATGTGTGGGCCTTATAATATATAAGTGTTAGGCAGGAAGTGAGGAGGTGGCAGTGGGAGGGAGGGAGGGAGGGAGGGGAAGAGTTGCCATGCGCCATGCTCAGCGTGTCATCTATGTTGCAGGGAGGGGGGGGTTGCGGGGGGGGGGGGCGGTTAGGTTATCCCTATGGGGAACACTCACCGGGGTGTTGGACTGCTCCGTTAGTTTTTGCTCCCACATCTTCAGACGTCTTTCTCGTTCTTTGAGCTCCTGCTCTTTAAAGCTGAGGTCACGTTCTAGTTTCTTCAGCCTCTCAAGAGTTGCTTCAATTTCACACCTGCACAGGGATAACTGGTTTAAGTCTCAGCTTTGCTCCAGAGTGATTAAATGGTCCAGGAGAATGCTTACTCGTAATCAAGGTAAAAAGCTAAAACTCATGCTTTTAAACCAAACAGCAAACTCTCAGAGAATAACACATCTTTCATGGCCTTCAAAGTCAATGGGTAGTTTCTAGTTTGGAAAAATAAGCTCAAATACTTTAACAAAGCATGAAGGAGCCAAAGCCATGACACTGGTGTTCTAGTTTAGCCATTTAATAAATGCTCACATTCCTCTAGTCTAGCTCTTTACAATTTACAAAGGACAATTTATATTATCTCATCTTATTCTCACAACAGTCCCAAGAAACAGATGCTAATCTTAGAGAGAGAGATGGGAAAATGATCCTCAAGATAGGTGATCAATATCACACCATTAGTAAATTCACGTTAGCTTATTCACTGGCTAAGTCAAGTAATCAATTGATTAAGCTGACTCTGTTTCCTGAGTTGTAAGGGGTGGTGGTTATCTGACATCAGGGATTCCTAACTTGCCTGATCCTAATAATTATCTGTGCAGCAGGTTAAAACAAACAAACAAACAAACCCATACAACAAAACTAGGATCCTTCCTTAGAGCTCATGATTCAGTAGAGTTGGGTGGGGCCCAGGAATTTATATTATTTAATAAAAGATCCAGATAGTTTTTACCATCAGGCAAGTGTAGGAAATTCTGGGCCATATGTACTCCAAGGTCCTTTTTCACTCTAATAATTTTAAAAGAAAGCCCCCTCCTGAGTCTGTATAGATCGACCAACCTCACCACTTCATAGAAACTGAACCTGGTAAGATGGCTCAATGCATTTTTTTTTAAAAAATATATACTTTATTCATTTTTCACAGAGAGGAAGGGAGAGAGATAGAGAGTTAGAAACATCGATGAGAGAGAAACATCGATCAGCTGCCTCCTGCACATCCCCCACCAGGATGTGCCCGCAACCCAGGTACATGCCCCTGACCGGAATCGAACCCGGGACCTCCCAGTCCGCAGGCTGATGCTCCATCCACTGAGCCAAACCGGTTTCGGCTCAATGCATTTTTTTCCCTCTTTCAGGACTACCATGTTTAAGTCTAATCTTATCCTTTGAGAGCTGGATGTTCTTTCCCTTGAGTTTCTGAAGAGCCCATGAGAAAAGTAACAGTAATGAAAAAAATAGAGAAAGAGGGAGGGAGTGAGGGGGAGGAAAGAGAGAAAGAGAGAGAGAGAGAGAGAGAGAGAGAGAGAGAGAGAGAGAGAGAGAGAGAGATGGAGCGAGGGAGGGAGAACCCTAGGGACGAAAGGCTGGAGAAGGCGCACACAGAGAAGAAAGAGGCTGGAAAGAGGCGATGTGTAGAGCAGCTGTTGAGTGCTGCCAACAGCTAGCTGTTTCCAGGTGCCATTAAGACAAACCTGCACGGCAGACTCAGGAATTCTGGCTGAGACCATGTCTGTGGAAAGTAGAAGCCCCCAGATCTAAGTTAATGAATATATGTGACCAAAATCTGCCTTTTATTTTATTTTCAGGGAAAATCAGAATAAGTGGACAGCTTACTCCAATGTCCTCATAGATGAGAACTAAACGAATGCAGACAAAACAATTATGGGCAAATCCCAACTCAGGGAACAGCTATTGAGATGGGTCTAGATTTGGGTCTGACACTTTACTTCCTTGGTGCCATCTGAAAATTAAAAACCAATATAGTAAAGTCACACTATAGTCCCCAAGTATGATATCAGACATAAATATTATACCCATTCATAAATAAGTTTGTTTTTATTTCTAAAATAGAAGACTGAGGAGGAAAATCAATGTGGTTCAACTTTTATAACACAGAAAGAGCCATCTTCAGTCAATGAGAGGGAAAGAGAGTAAAACAGCCTGTGCCCCTTGCTGTCCTTGCTTTTGGTGATGCGTTGTTTTGCACCCAAATGCATCTCTTAGTGCATTTATATAACTTTCCTGTTGTAAAAAATATGGTTTACATGTTTTAACTGATGAAAATCACAGCTTTACTCTTAAACAAAACCTAACGAAGGCTGACTGCCACTAATGTGAATTTTCCATACGCTAAAAACAGGCGAGGAAGTATAATTATCTTCTTTATTAGACAGAAACTTCCTTTGAAATAAAAGGTCAATGAGTAAAAAACAGCTTTATTGCATATATATTGCATAAGTACATAATGTGTAGATTATATTTGTTCTTATGTATTAAATGATGTGTGCTAATACCCAAATAGCAAAGATTAAATTTCTTTGATCTTTGTTTTTAAGAGGCCATGCATGACTCAGGGAGAGTATTTGATCACAAGTCAGACCACAACCCAGAGTGCTTTGCCGACACAGAGATCCGAGTGCTCCCTTACATACCACCCGGCTCAGGGAGCACAGACTCCCACAGGCGCAGAGGCCCCACGGGACAATGAAAACCGAGACAGGACGACATAGTTTCTGTTCCTATGCTCACTGCCACTATTTTTTTTTCTTTTTTTTTTTTATTGCTTAAAGTATTACAAAGGGTATTACATATGTGTCCATTTTATCCCCCCGCCCTAGACAGTCCCCTAGCCTCCCCTATCCCCCAATGTCTTATGTCCACTGGTTATGCTTATATGAATGCATACAAGTCCTTTAGTTGATCTCTTACCCCCCTACCTCCTGCCCCCCAACCCTCCCCGGCCTTCCTGCTGCAGTTTGACAATCTGTTTGAGGCAGCTCTGCCTCTGTATCTATTATTGTTCAAAAGTTTATAATGGTCTCTATTATCCATGAATGAGTGAGATCATGTGGTATTTTTCCTTCATTGACTGGCTTATTTCACTTAGCATAATGCTCTCCAGTTCCATCCATGACGTTGCAAATGGTAAGAGTTCCTTCCTTTTTAGAGCAGCATAGTATTCCATCGTGTAGATGTACCACAGTTTTCTAATCCATTCATCTACTGATGGGCACTTAGGCTGTTTCCAGATCTTAATGGTGAATTGTGCTGCTATGAACATGGGGGTGCATATATCCTTTCTGATTGGTGTTTCTGGTTTCTTGGGATATATTCCCAGAAGTGGGATCACAGGGTCAAATGGGAGTTCCATTTTCAGTTTTTTAAGGAAACTCCATACTGTCTTCCATAGTGGCTGCACCAGTCTGCATTCCCACCAGCAGATGCTCACTGCCACTATAGCTAGCAAGTCAACCGAGGAGAAACAAGCTGAAGGTGTGATGAGCAAGAGCCGTAGACAAGATTTCTTTCCTGTCATTCATTAGGTCAAAAGAAAGAACATAGTTAAGGTGGTTTTTAATAACCTCGTTTTAAAAAGAATTCCAGCATAATCATTTAACTTTCTAAAACTGGACAGGTGTTCCATCTGGTCTCTGGGTAGCGGAAGCTCAACCAGAAAACAAGCATTTGCCAGAAACACCAGAAAGGACTGGAATCTGACTTCACTGTGACTCTGATTTTCAATACACGCTTTGGACAACGGCCGCATGGTTTCAGACACCAGACCCAGTGGGGGCGGGGGGGGGAGGGGAGAGAGAGGAGTGGTCTGATGCGGTGTCTTTTGAAACACCCAGATCAGTGGTCAGCAAACTGCGGCTCGCAAGCCACATGCGGCTCTTCGGCCCCTTGAGCGTGGCCCTTCCATAAAATACCGACTTCTGCGCATGGGCCACGGAGTTTCAATTGCACTGTACGTGCGCGCCCGCACATGGTATTTTGTGGAAGAGCCACACTCAAGAGGCCAAAGAGCCGCACGTGGCTCGCGAGCCGCAGTTTGCCGACCACTGACCCAGATGATGCCAAAACATTTAATTCTTTTCACCACTTGGTATACTGAGTGAAATAGTTGTTTTACGTTATTCAAACCAATCATGCCCTGTCATATTTCTCTTCTCTAAAAAGGAGCCTGGTCAAGGGCACACTGCACGCTAATCAGTGGATGGCGTGACACTGGCCACAGTCCCAGAACAGTACTGCACGCGTGTGCTACTGCAGGCCTGGGGCCAGACCACCTGGGTTCTTCCACTGCGGTGGTTCTCAACCTTCTGGCCCTTTAAATACAGTTCCTCATGTTGTGACCCAACGATAAAATTATTTTCATTGCTACTTCATAACTGTAGTGTTGCTACTGTTATGACTCAATGTAAATATCTGGCATGCAGGATGGTCTCAGGTGACCCCTGTGAAAGGGTCATTTGACCGCCAAAGGGGTCGCGACCCACAGGTTGAGAACCACTGCTCTACTGGATCCATCTTATACGACGTGATTTGGGCAGGTTACCCGACCTGTCCAGGCCTCGGTTTTTGCATCTGTGATGTCAGGGTTGATATGTGGATTAAAAAAGATAATCTGAAAAAAGTATAACTATCTAGTAAGAATGTAATACATGACAGCTGTGCTTATTATTGTTCTTCTACTTAATATTTTACTCTCCATGTTTTTAACCAATGCCCAAGTTCAGATAAAACAGCTCTGCTGTGTCTCAGATAGCGGTTTAGTGGTCCAGGTAACGATCTATACTCTCTCAGCTCTTGGGATTGACTCATTCCTGAAAGATAGCCAATGAGGCAGCCCTCTAGGCAACTACTGTATTCACCTTTTACTAAAATACAATAATGTTTTACCAATTTTATTCCCCTCATCTTTTCATTTTGAAGCATTTAAAACATTAAATTTATTATTCAGCTAATCCAGGTTTATCATAGAAAACATTAAAGATAAACAAATAGAAAACATTCTTCCATAATTTTATTGCCCAATGATAACAATGACCTTTTGATATTTTTTCTATGTACACACAAATATACATATAAACATATATTTTACAAAAATGGAATCACTCTAAACATACTGGATTGTAGCCTCTATTTTAAAATAATTTTATCAGATCTCTGTTATCATGAATTTCTCCATACTATTCTGTGAATGGAGATATTGTAACTTTTAAAAACCACAAATAAACAATAAAAGCAAAATGAATCTCCTTTTTATTGCACTTTATGCCATTTTCAGTTTTATGATTCTAAGGATAGAGGTGTCCTACATTCTTGCATAATCTTCTCATTCATTTTTTTAGGAATACCTTCTTTGGAAAGGTAGTATTTTTGTCACCAGCAATGCATGAGAAAATTCATAACACTGGGTATTTTCATGATATAAATTTTTACTAATCTGAGAAGCGAATTATGTTCCCTTATGTTTATTTACTTGACTGCTAAATGAGGTTGAATATATTTCATATGTTTCTTGGCCATTGGGTTTCTTTTTTTGGGGAACTGCCTTTTTGTGTCCTTTAGTATGATAGTAAATAGTATGATACTATTCTCAAAATAGTAATAATTATTTGTATACTTATACTTCATAGTTCAACACTGGGCATTCCATGTGCATTGGGTCTGATCTGTTCATCACCAAACCCAATACCCAGAAGGGCACCTTGCCTCAGCCAAAGTTCAACAAATATTTGAGTGAATGCATGTAAGAACATTTGTCGTGGCAAACAAATTAACTTGCATATTTATATTCTCTTGTGCAATACCATACTGTCTTTTTATATTATTAGCACCATTGCATTCTCTTCCCCAAATAGTTATTGAGCAACTGCTATGGTCAAGGCACCTTCTAGATGCTATAGGTACAGTGATAAACCTGATCCACTTTAGCCAGTGACACACACACACACATTAAGTAAACTGTAAATTACTTATTAATTACAATAACAGTCATGGGTATCTCTACTTCCTTAGAATAGATTCCTAGAGATGGAATTTCTCTGACAAATGGTATGAAAAATTTAAAGGTTCCTGATCCTAAATGATTTCTGGGAAGGCTGTATCAGTTTACAATCCTGCCAGCCATGTGTGAGAGTGCCTGCCTCACAGTCCATATATGTGGAGGAATAGCAGTGCTTTTAATTAACCTTCACCAGTTTGATAGGTAAAATATTATTATCTACTTGATATACTGTGAATGTTATAAACAGGGATGAATTTTAAACAAAACAAACTATATTTTGCAAGAACTCTGAGGGAGGAAGAACCATGCACCTCCTGAGGGACTGAAAGCCAGAAATAATGGACAGACCGACGCTCTTCAGATGAGGCTCTGAGGCCAGAGTAAAGTGAGTCTCATGAGTCTTACTAAGTATTTTGGCTTCTGTCCTAGAGTACTGGTCACCCCTTTATATGGACTTACTATTTTGTATATTTGTGCTGAACTCTTATTGTAAGAAAAAAATATTAATTTTACATGTTTTGCTAATTATTTCAGCCCAGAACCAAATCCTTTGTGCCTAGACTAGAACGGACAGTATTCCTTTTGTGTCCCTAAATAAAAATTCATTTAACTCGCTGGCCTTTGATAAAGATTTCAAAAGAATAAAAATAAATAAAGTTATTGTAAAACACCAACCGAACAGCCCCAAAACATGTCTAAGAACAGGAGAAAACAACTTCATCGTTTTCAAAGCACATGCAGTATTCATTTTGCATCAGCAGGTGGCGCAAGGCGCCTCATTACCGCCTGGGCTCTCAGGAGCAGAGAGGCAGTTACTTAAGTCTCTGCTGAGTCAGGGAGGAATGTAGCTCCCAAACATGCTATTTATATTCGAGCATCATGTGACCTGGCTCAAATGTCTCATCCCAGGCTTACTTCTTCCACTCACACAATACCATTTTCTCATTACTGAACTTGTTTTACACTTGACACAATTTAATAGGATTTATAACATCTAAAGTTTTCTTTCAAAAGTGTTTTTATAGTCTCCCTACCTTCTCCATCAACATAGAGTGCTCTCTGCAAATTTCCGGGCAAACAGTATTTTTATTTCTCACTGGACAGAGGCCAAAGCTTCCAACACAGAGTGTACACAGAGAGATGGCAACTAACTGTCCTGTGTCTCGGAAGATATGATTTCAATGGTCTTTCCACATACTCATACAACAAGCTCAGAGGGGAACTCTCATTTTTGCTTACATATGAAATGGAAGACTTATTCGATCTCCAGAATTTTTTAACACAAACAGAAAACAAGCCTAGTCAGTGTGGCTCAAGTGATTGAGCATCAACCTATGAACCAGGAGGTCGCGGTTCGATTCTCGGCAGGGCACCTGTCCAGGTTGTGGGCTTGATCCCTAGTTTGGGGGGGGGGGGTGCGCAGCAGGCAACAGAACAATGATTCTCTCTCATCACTGATGTTTCTATCTCTCTCTCCCTCTCTCTCTGGAATCAATAAAAATATTAAAAGCAAAATAAAAAGCCGCAATTTCTAAGCTATTCTTAGAAATCAGGATCGTCATCTAGTTTTCTGGTTCTCTCCTTCACTTCAGTTAGTCCTGGTCCTCGAGGCCAGGGGAGGTGTCTGCTGAGCAGGCCTACCTACCTCCACTCCGCCTTGTTGTGCAGGAACGAGTTACACTGGTCGGGAAGGTCAGTGTCATTTGACATGGACTCCAGAATTGAAATGATCTGCTTGAAAGACGGCCGTTTCTGAAGAAGAGAAAATAAATAACCCCTTGTTAGAAATTCAGATAGCTCTTCAAGAGAAAATCTATACGCACAGTAAGAAGTTCAACTTATCATGACAAAATAAAATAGGATGTAAAGTCCTAATTTAGTCAGTTCACAACCGCCAGACCACTCAGGGTTAGGGAACTGTATTCCTTATTTTCAATCAATTATTCATAAGGATAGACTCATGCCTTTTTTCTGTCTGTGGCCTCCGTCTGGAATAATTTCAGTTTTTCTTTAGGTAAGGAAAGTACTAATTCTCTCTTTGACCTGGGTATGATGAAGGACTCCTACTAGTAAAAGGCAAAAGTTAAGTCCTTTAAAACTCTATGTGATAAAGCAAGCATGTAAACGTTAATAGTAGAGTCTAGGCTAGGGGATAGGTATAGCAGTATTCGCTGTAAAATTCTTTCAACTTTTCTGGATGTTCGAACAGGTGTATAATAATTTTTTTTTTGGAGAAAATCTACTTGTAAACTTATCAGAACCAACAAAACTTCTTCCTAAACCACTTGCTCAGAAAATTTCCCCAATTTAAAAGCCATCATAACTTGTTCTCAATATTTATTCCACATTGTAACTAACTTTGGTGCTGGAAAACGCTAGGATACTGTTTAGCAGAAATTGAAAAGGGAGTGGTTAGGTGTATTTCTTTAGCTTACAGTAACTACAGTAGTCTATCTCTTTAGACTGGAGCCAAGGTTGAGAGAAAAGGTTAAACCAAAAATGGAGAAAGATAATAAAAGTATGATGCATATTCTCTCTTCATCATGCCTCATAATTATAGCATTTCTGAATAAATTACAGTTGCGGCAATTAAAACATGCATTTTAATTTAGGAGCACAAAAACAAGAAGGAACAATGTTGAGGTGCTTGCTCTCAGGACTTGAGTGCTTCATACATTAAGAAAGGCAATTTTCCCGTTTCTCAGGAATATAAAATGGAGAGATTTATTCTGAATTCTTTTTTTCCCCTGAGTTCTTTTGAGAGAGAGAGAGAGAGAGAGAGAGAGAGAGAGAGAGAGATTAAGAGAGGGCAAAAGTAGCAAAATGTCACTAATATATATCAAGCCTTCTAATAAGCAAAAAAGAAAAATGCTGTAAATAGGAAATTTGAAAAATATTGTTTTCTTTTGACTTTGTTCCCATTTTAATTTCTACCACTATGTGTAAGGTTACAAAATTTTAATTATTTGCATAGGAACAAATTATATTATAAATATAGGATTTTCATTTTGCATTAAAAAGGCAGAAGAATTAATGAAGTTTTAAATAATATAATCCTACATAATCATTCTTGCAATAAGGTGAAAATCTTTTGTAACTGGATGACAAGTACCCCTAGAAAAAAATCTTAATTTTATCCATAGAATATGCTCTCAAAGAGAAATTATCAAAGTGAACATTTAACCAAGCAACACCAATGCAGACTTTTGTGGTAATGATAGTTTATGAATACGCTAACTGCAGAAGACAAGATTTGGGCTAAGGTCTTATGTAAGTTCCTTTGAAGGAACTTAATTTTCTTTCAGGAATTATGCAGGTGTTCCTTACTTAAAAATCACAACAAGGCCCTTTATTAAGCATCCGCACACAGCATTTCTTTAGTTATCTTCATTTCGTAGATAAGGAAAATTAGTCTCAGAGAAGAATCAACCGCCCAGCATCACACAGGAAATAGGCCACAGTGCCAGGGACCACGCAGGTAAACCTGCAGAATGCTTTACCACATGAGGGTAAAACAGGACTTCCTTTCAAATTCAGGGCTTTAACAGTTACCTTTTTTCTTATTTAGAAATGTCACTTTAGAACTTGAACCAATACCTACCTTCACCTCCTTCTTTTCTTCAATGAAATATTTTGAGCCCCGGGGGTAAGCCACTGGAATGACGGGACATTCACCTACAACCAGCTTGCTCTTGTACACATTTCCTCCTCCTCATTGCAAAAGAACACATTTTTATAGCTGAATATTTTAATCTATGTGTTAATATTCTAAAGCCCGAGGACTGGAAAAAATATTTTAACCAACTATTATATGTGCATAGGTCTGGCACCAACTTCTGGTTGAAATGCTATGTACTTCCAGCCAGAGAACTGAAACAAGCCTGGGTTGGCTGCTTCGGTCAACCACAAATTGGGCATCTATTTACTCAAGTTATGTAAGGTGCTATAAGGAAACACATATTAAAACTAGCTCTATTCCCTTATATATCCTGCAATCAAGTTAGGAAGAAAAAATATTTTTTAAAAATACAGCAATTCAAGGTAAGGCACTAGGCCAGATTGTGGGTTGGGAAAAGAAACACTAATTATAGGCCAGAGTAAACAGAGTAACCAGGGAAGCTTATGATGAAGTGATGAGGGGAGAAAAGACAAGAAGGGAGAGCACGTTTGGGAATAAAGGTGGGAGGCGTGTCCGGAGGAGCTCAGCGACGGAGCTGGGAAGGCGGGCTGCGGCTGGGCGTATAATCAGGTCAAGGACAGGTGCCATGTCGTAGTTTTATCAAAATAAAATATCATGAATTTAGGAAATAAAAACCGATCAAACTTTCTTTATACTTCACATGGCTAGAACACAAGATTCCTTTGGTCCTAAGGAAGTTGAGCTTAGCACATCTTAGAGGCATCCAACCTCACGGCACCAACATGGGGACTAATGGTCTGTGCTGATAGGTGTTTATACTACCATTTCATTAATGCACCATAACTGTACACTCTCAGAATTTTAATTAAGGTAGTACAGAGTTTCTGATTAAGAAATTCACAACCTGCTTTGCATACTGAAATATAATTACAATTATAGAGATCTAGTTGCACTAATCTAATTCAATGCAAATAATTTCAGGTGAAATTTCTATTTAAATGTCAGAGAGGAAAATACTGGCAGAATTACTGTATATGCCACAATGGATATATAACTGGGAGAGAGAGTATGAAAAGGGTAGTATGATACTATTTCAACGGTACAAAATAACTGTTCTACAGCAAGCTTGCAAGTAGTCACTTATAGTTTCTACTAGATTAGTTACAAAGTGCAGGCCTTTATTTTAATGCTTAAAAATTTCCATATTCTGAAAACTCTCACTCTAAAAGAATAGAGCTGAAACAGGAATAGGGCTGCCCACTCAAAGCCTATGTAACTTTGTCACGGAATACTAATAAAAGCAACAGCTATCCTAGATAAAAATACCAACACAGTTTATACATTTTAAAGGACTCTACTTTTTAAAAGACAAAGGCAGTTTGATGAACAGGAGTAAAAGCAAAGGTGGAGGCTGTTGGTAATGAGAGGAAAGGCAAATGGTCAAGGGGGGAGGAGGGGAGAACCGCAGCAAACCCTTCTAAGACAAAGCGCGGGCAGCCCAGCAGCAGCGGCAGGCAGGTCGAAGGGCCCTGCTGCACTGCTGGCTACGCTGCTGTACCTGATGTTCAGCTGTTCTCACTTGATGGGGCGGAACAATGTGCTGGGGAACTTCACATATGATTCACGGGAATCCTGAGTTATATACTAACACAATTCCCATCCTCACCAACTATTTATGAGTTATTCCCACTAGAGAAACATGTAGAACAGCCTATATGTTATCATTCATTCCTCTTGAGGGCCATACTGGAACTGGGTTTAAATTAAGGAAGAAATTCCATTCTTAAGTTTTTATTTTTAGATCTCTATTTAAAAGGTCAGGTTGCAATAGATATATTTCCATGAAAAACTGGACACATTGAAAATATAAAATTTCAGTTCCTTTCTTGAGTATAACTCTCTTACTATAGGCAATGTTTAATCTGTGAGACTCTTTATTTTTAACTTTTTATTATGGAAAATTCCGAACATACACAATGATAGAATAATATAATGAACCTCCATATACCTATCACTCAGCTTCAAAAATTATAGCTAATCTTATTTCATTTATACCATCAACCATTTCCTTTCACTTTATTTTGAAGCAAATCCAAGACTAGCTTATCATTTATCTATAAATATTTCCGTATGTATGTGAGAGTCTTTTAAAATGATCTTTGTAGGGAAAGGAAATGGGCCATTCATGCTTAAATGTGATAACCACATGAAAGCCGAAGTTTGGAATTTCTCCAACTCCATTGTGATTGTCTAAAAAACATCACTGAAACTGGACAGGAGGTAGGTACCAAGGTTCTCTCCAAGGGCTACTTCTGGTCTTTGGTTAAAGGGCAATAGAGTGTAGTGGATAAGAGCAGGGACTCCTGTCAGACTGCCTGGGTTCATGTCCAGCCCCACCACATATCAGCAGTGTGGCCTTGAGCTCATTACTCTACCTCTGTGTGCCTTGATTCTTCATCTATAAAATGAGGATAATGATGGTGCCTATTTCATAGAGCTATTGTGAGGAATGACTTAATATACATAAAGTATTTGGAACAGTGCCTGACATATAATAAGCACTGTGTGCTAGCCATCTTTAAAACATGAAGGTGCAATAGTTACCATTAAAGATGAAAAAGAAAGGAACAAATTTCTCTTTATTGAATCAAGAATGTCAGAGTGCTGTAAGAAAGACCCATTTTATTGAGTTTCTAGGGGTCAAGATAAGCAGATGTGAACAAAAAGCCTTCACAGTCGATCTGGGGAACAGCAGCCCAGCTTTGCTTTGTAATAGATTTTATTACCCCTCACCCCCCAATTCAAAGCCAAACAAGTGAAATTCCAGAGTTCTGAACAGCAACAAAAAGCGTACACATACCTTGGCATCGGCTTCCCAACACTGACGTAACAGTTCAGCAAAGCTTCTGGGGCAACTGCTCGGAATGGTTAATCTCTGCCATAGAGAGTAAAGCAAAATAAAACATAAGGACTTGCTCATTAAGGAAAGAAAATACTAACTGAAGGGTCATAAGAGAATTAAGAGCATGAACAAGGACTTGCATTTAAATCTTCCACTGATTAACGTGTGACAGGCGAGAGTTTATGTTTACAGCCATAATACCTAATCTCTGAAGACACCTGTACTTTTCCTCTAAAAAATAATCGCACTGGATGGAGAATGAGGTTCAGCACAACAAAGGCTTTAAACAAAACATCAAGTCTAAAAGAAACTACAGAAGGAGAGCGGCAAGTCTGAACTTAAACACAAAATCTAAAACCACAAATCTATTACTGCACTTTTACAGGCAACTGTGAAATATGCAAACAGGCCGGGCAACTCGGAAACCAGTTCCGTTTTGGCAGTAGACGGACAACCGTGAAAACATCTTCACTACAGACAACCACAGAGCCGGTTTTAATGAAGCGCGCGCTCTGCCACTGGTAAATAGGACGTTCTGAATGCATGGTTCATTACGGCTCCGTTTTACTCAAACTCATAAACGGTAAGGACCTGGCACAACAAAGATGACAATGTGAGGCTCGGTGCCGTTCTAACATTCCACAGCGGTGGTTCTCACAGAACATATCATGCTCCTGGAGGCTGTGTAGAAATCCATGGGAGCATTTCTGTTTGTTTTAGAAACTGGTGGGTTGCCCCTGAAGCAGGTCAAGAATGCAAGCCATCCTTCAATATACAGGGAAGTTCTACTTGATTAAGAATCGCTTATATTCCATCAAGCTTCAAAGGCCCCATGTGCATTCATGTCAGTAAAACAAGCAAACAATGAGGTTTACAGTTGTCTGAGCCTAGAGTCTAACACTGACTTACAAATAAACACAAAGTATTTTTTGAATAGCTTTTAAGTGCACTGAATGTTCTAAGAACGCAATTACCAAATGAAATAAATCAAGGGCTGAGTGAGTTTTGCACTAACTGAAATTTTTGGAAAATGTCACAGACAACAGTGTTGCTCATGCATGGTAGTGGGGTCATTAACCCAACTCCATCTGCATTTGGAGCTGTGGAAGTCTATTTATCCATAGGTGCCAACGCCTAAAACTGCCCCATGACCTCACTGTGGTCATGCCTGAACATTCACACATTGCAAGCGCAATACACTTTCCATTAATTTCTTCTTTATATTCCATTAGAACATTATATTGACTTAAAATCTAATGTGTGTAGGTAGGTTGTATTGCCTCTGAATTTCATTTAATGGAAGTAGAGGTGGGCGTTAACACACAGTTATAAAAAGAGCCCTGGGGGTGCTGGAGTGGAGAACTGCTGTACTAAGAAGTACTGGGGGCATTTATTCCACAGTATTGTTCGACAAAGAAAGCTTTGCAGATAGGAAACTTCAAACTGAACTGAGTTGACTGGATTGGGGAGAGGCTATGCGTAAATTAGAAAAATTGTTGCCTTGGCAAGAAAACAGACTATCTGTATTTGGAATTACAGATAATCTTAAAATCAAAATAAAACAAAATAAAAAATAAAATTAAAAACCCTCTCCGAGTTGGAGGCTAAGCTAAACATCTTTTAACTTCCAGCCTAGTGACTGCACAGACTAGCATACAATGTACTGGTAATAAACTGTAATGCGGACTGGGGCCTTTTGATGAAGGTCAAAAGAAAAATCAGGTGTTTACTTTTCTTAAAGATAAGATGGTTGGGGTGGCAACTAATAAAACAGACAGTAATTGCAATTATGCAACTGAATGTGCCTCATGTGTAACGAAAAATAATTTTTCATAAAGGATAACATTTGCAATATAACTTTACCTCAACATTTTTTTCTAAGAACTGAAATGTGAACAGAATGAATATGGATATTGATCATTTCTATTGTCTTTTCTTACTAACAAACTTTTTAGATGCCCTATCTGGGATACTGTACAAGGAGACATAATTATTTTAAATGATCTGACAAGGTCACTTAAATCTAGATTCAGGCTTTTAAAAAATATGTGTTTTTATTTATTTCATAGAAGAAGAGAGAGGAAGCGAGATAGAAACATCCATGAGAGAGAATCATTGATGGGCTGCCTCCTGCACGCCCCCTACTGGGGATTGAGCCTGCAACCTGGGCATGTGCCCTGACTGGGAATTGAACCATGACTTCCTGGTTCATAGGTCAACACTCAACCACTGAGCCAAGCTGGCTGGGCCATATCTGTCACATTTAAGATATTTATTATTAATGCTGTCTTCTATAAGGGTTCGTTGCCTTCTATAAGGGTTCGTTGTTTGCTTTGTAAAGTTTAACAGTGCTTTATGTATCTGGTTTTAATAGGATTTAATATTATGAAAAACTATTGTTTAAAGATTTTATTTCATTATTTAGGGTTTAGAAGCAAAGACCTTCAGATATAATTTTTAGACAGTACTGATCTTCCTATAGATGCAAAAAGCAACCTTAAATGGTGAAACTAAATAAGGTCTACAGTCTTGTAAAGAGTAATGTATCAATGTCCATTTCCAGGTTTTGAGATACTATACCTACATGTCACCAGTGGGGGAAGCTAGGGGAAGAGTACCCAGAAATTCTTGATATTTTTCAACTTCCTGTGACTCTACCATTTCTTTAGAATAAAATGTTAATACGAAAAGATACCCTACTATTTGGATATAGGTACATTCTAGGGTGACTAGTTCACATTTTAAATATCTCCCTGGAAATTTAAACATACCATTCTTTATTTACATGAGGCTTATTTTTAATAAAACACAGCTTTGTCTCCTCAACTCAATAACCCAAGACACCTTCTTCAATGGCAATGGAAACTACATTTACGCTTAATTTTCATATCTTTGACAAATAAATATTGTGCACAGTAAGAACAGACAGATAAAGAAATATATTTGTAATGCCCAGTTTTCCTGAAGTTCATTAGAAAATTGAGAAAACTTATTTCACCATATGGGTTTTTTCAACTTACTATTACATGTGATAACTACAATATGGGAGGTATTTGAGCAGCATCCCTCAGTTAGTAGCTGATCATAAGATCACACCATGGATAAAACAGTAGTCTACTTTAGGGGGTTCCTGGGGAGAAGGGGCTGGCCTCCTTGTATACATGTTGAGGAGGTTCTGAAGGTTATGGATGATTCCCAACCCTCAAGTCAACTATCCAAAGGCACCTTCTAAATTCATTTTTCTCTCCAGCTTTAAAATTCCTTGATGGGCACTCCAATGTTTTGAAAGTACTTTAGATTTATACCTATAAGATGAAATGTTACTTAAAAGATTAATTATTCTGTCCTTATACATATTTTGAGGGTCCGGTTAGCTTTAAAAACAGTTTATCTTGAAATAAGGTAGAGAGGAAAAAATGATATTGAGTGCTCTGCTCCAAAGTCAACAGAAGGTCAATAATTTTCTTCATTCTCATTTGTAAACCCAGAACCAAATATCTAATCATCTCACTGGCAAAAGAAACAGGACAAGTGGGTTTTCATATCATGAAAATATCAGTTCTCCTGTATGCAAGGCCTGATTTAATTGCACACCAGGAATTACTCCCACATTTAATTAAAACAGAGCAGTTCCTGTGAAACAATGAGTAAGACACATTCTTGAACGTAACTCCTTTTAATTTTTCTTAAATTGGCAGCACTCTCCTAGCAAGTTCGGTTATCACGAACATTTCATCCATTCTCAATGGCTCAGGAAGACAAATTAATAACTCTGGATTATGTGATCTAAAATATGGAAACCTGGTTTCTCTTAGTCAATAGCAGCTATTTGATTAATCTAGTTTGTCCCTGCACTCACATGGGGAGTAGATCTATCTAATTCTTTTAAAAGTACATTAAAAGGGGACTCTCTCTCTATATATATATTCATCTTTTGCAAAATATTTTATCCTCAGGTTACACTCTTACCCTTTGTAGGGGGCACAGACCAGGTTTGGAAATGAAGAAGTTCTGTGCAATGAAGTTGTTTTGCATTGCAAAGACAACCGCGTGCTTCCATGACATGATCTAAGTTCTCATAATACCCTGACACTGGATGCTTCATCCGTATGCTGAAAATTTCCATGGCTGTGCGTTTCAGTCACAATTTTAAACCTTTCAAAACGTAGTTGCTCTCTTTGATATGAATGTACCATGTTCTCTGATGTAGGCTCATAGGTCCAACTAACTGAAAGCCTCAATTTGTGGGAAGAAGAAAAGCGAGGCTGGGGACACAGCACAAACGGTGTTTACGCCACTGAAGTTCTTTTGAAATGGAAAGGCTCTGCATGAAGAAGCGCACAGCTATGCCACTGCCTCGGCAATTCCAGCGAGGAGCTCATCTTCAATGTAGTGCTCAACGTAGGTGGCAAAACTGTAATTTTTCCCTTTTTTGAAACTATTTTTTCTTCTTTTATTTTTGAAATTCTCATCTAAGCGACAGTTTCTTGTACTATAGTGACTCCTGCTGGGAGAGGTAAGTTGAAGTAGCTGAAGGTCTCTTACAGATATATCAACTCCCAGCCAGTAAAAAAGATGTCCTAAACGCAGGAGATGGAGTTAAACTGTTCCCCTACCTTGGACGCAATGGCTTCTTTCATCACTAAGAACAAACCCCTAGGTTTTACAATTGAGACTGAGAAACTAGTACAGTACTTGTACAATTTTTGATCTACAGCATCACGACGTGAAGCTGCAACAATTAGATGTAAAGGGTCCATTCATGAGGAATAACATCACTTTGACCCTTTGTGTTAGCTCCTACTGCTAATCTTTCCATAAGCGTGAACTTACTTTCAATTTGAAGAAGATGAAAAAGTCTTTTGCAAAACCCCAATACTGTTTTCTGATCTATGTACCTGAATGGAGAATCGTAGTCTTACCTCGTTTTTTTCCACTACAAGCCAAGCTACTTGTAATCCTTCCAAACCTTTAAAGGGGACCTCCCTTGTTAGCATCTCCCAGAGAACCTGGAACAAAAAGAAAATGGAATTTTTATTCTTGTACTTTATATTTTGGCATATTACTGAAACTTTATGTAACACTTAACTGTATCCAATTACCAGACACAACCAATCCCATCTGTAGAAACTTGGGCAAAATGTATATATTCATGCATAGGACTCCTTCCATATATTATATACATTTTTTAAATAAAAAAATTCTGATTTAGAAATTAGAACATCTAGAGCCAGACTTCAATTTTTATGAGAACAATGGGCTTAAGTGATTTAACTTTATCTTGTAAGTGATTAGAATTCTCATGTATACCCATATATTAGATTTTATATTTTGTTAGTTAAAACTCTTCCCACCTTCAATCTCTGATACATTTCACTATAAAATAAATAATAACTAGGAATTAAAACATTTTTAAAGGTCCAATATGGCCTCATCATAAAAATCAAGCCCCAAATCTAAGTCACTGGCTAAACCACTTATCCCATAATAGTAGGTACTTGCAAAATTGTAACATTTAGATTTTGTGTTTTGGAGAAATATCTCAAAATGTGTGCAGTGGTCGGCAAACGGCAGCTCGTGAGCCACATGCAGCTCTTTGACCCCTTGAGTGTGGCTCTTCCACAAAATACCGACTTCTGCGCATGGGTCACGAAGTTTCAATCGCACTGTACATGTGCGCCCACACGTGGTATTTTGTGGAAGAGCCACACTCAAGGGGCCAAAGAGCCGCACGTGGCTCGCGAGCCGCAGTTTGCTGACCACTGGTCTAAGGGATTAATTTTTATCCATAATTTGTTAATACTATATTCTAAAATGTAATAACATAATTTGTTAATACTATATTCTAAAATGTAATAAAAACTTTATGTACATATATACACTGAGAATATATGTGTGTATGAGAGAGAGAATCAATGTGTGTGTCCATCTGTCCGCAGCCTTGAGATCAGCATCATTAATAAACTGGCACTGGCGGGCCCAAAGAAAGCAAACTGACTCTGGGAAGGCTGAGAGCAGCCAATGATTTTGGTTTCATTTTAAACACTAAGTAATGGAGATTTTTACACCCAGTTACTTTCTCTATTTATACAAATGAGAATCAAAATTTGAGTCTACCAATACTTTGTGAAGTGCAAAAAGAAAAGTAATTATGATTTTATCAATAATAATCCTAACAACCACTATCATTGATTGATTGATTATGTTCCCTTTTCAACTGTTAAACCCTTTGTTATCAAGATAACAAGATAGGTTATCAAGATTAATATTGACCCACTGGAGAGATATTATCCTCATTTTATAGATGAGGAAACGAAGGCTTAAAGAAAGTTAAATAAACTTTGGCTAGAACAGGAACCTGCTGCCTCACCCTGAAGGTCAAACTCTCAACCCCGTGTCACTCTACAGAAGGAGAAGCTGAAGCACAGGGAGAAGGTGACATGCCATATGTCAGGGGTGGGGCCATGGCAGAAACACACTCAGCAGTTTTGATTTCTATTTCTCTGGCTCTAAAAACAAACAAAATTTCTAAGTAAGAATATAGACTGAAGATACATATTGTACTCCAGCAACTCCTATAAACCTTTAGCTCCACTAGTATGTCCACTATTTCCTCAGTCGATGCTATGTGAGCCATACATGTTATTTGAGCCATAACCTTTCCAATGAATTCTGGATGACATGAAGATAATTAGCAGGAAAATCAGGGAAATTGGCAGATGCTGCTCACGCAGGAGAAAAAAAAATTCAATGAAGCCTCTTTGGGCTTTTAATCAAATGTGTAAGATACTTCTTTTGAGGAGCTACTGAATAATTCTATTTGAGGAACAGAAGAGATTAGGAAAAGATAAGGGGCATCCCAGAAGGAGACAATTCTAGGGAAGACAGTAAGCAAAGGAAGGTCGAGGCAGGTATGCAATCACACCTGACAGACGGCCTGCACAGGGGAGGGGCAGGGGCATGGAGAGGGCTGAGCAGGAAATGAAGCTCCTCACTTCGTTGCATTTACAGCTCCCCTGGTGTTGGGTTTGGGGAGGGGAAGGGATATGAAGCACAAGTAAATTAATGGACTTGACATTCCTAAGGAGAATGGGAATCAGGCTCAATAAATCAAAAGCACCAGATCCAAAACGTTCAGATGAGCAGCCTCGCACCCCCCTGTCGGAGTCCGGCCCGCACACACAATATATTGTGCATGTCCAGACATGAAGACAGACTGGGTTTTGTAAGGGAAAATGCAGAACCAAGAGCTTGGGGAATAACAGCAGAAAAAGATTTATGTCATTCTTGGTTCCAAAGCAGGCAGTTGGAAAATGTCCAAGATCCAATAAGATCGTAGTTAATACTTCTCTCAGAGTTCTAACTCTGGGAAAACAAGACAGTTCACTGTCCTCCCTCTCCGTGTCTCTAAAGAGCTAGTCTACTGAGGGAGCCACTTGACGGAGGTAAACCTATCGGGGATGGCGTCATTAACCGCTCAGTTCTGAAGCCCAAATGAGGTCTGTAGTCTAATTCCAGTATCAGCACATCCCCTGACTTCCTATAATTAACTCGCCAGATCCAGGAATTTATCAGAGAGTAGGAGGTCTGAGACAGGACAACAGCTTTTCCTACACTGAACACAATGACATTTGGCACACAAAAAAGCATCTTTGTTGAGGAAGTCATCTGGAGGCCTAAAAATATATTCAACTCTGCCTGAAAATATCAGTTATGGGGATGCAGGCCAAACACTGTGACCTTTCACCCCGAACATATTTTCCAACTTGTTTTATATCGAGATGTCCTCCCGTTTAAACTGCTCACAAGGAAATTTTCTATTTTCAGTTTACAGAAGAGAAACTTGGACCAGGGCAGCGTGCTTTTCCTGCCTTGGCTTTTACAAATAATGGGAAGCCGTTACCTGAGCTGCCCGCGCTGGAGCTGGGCTCACAGACCAGACCGGCGGTGACGCGCGCGCGCTCTCAGCCACTATGTTCAAACCTGATTTGGCCGAGCAGCTTCTCAAAAGGCAATGCTTTCTGCATTGTCATCAGGGAAGCTTTGTTTTCAGAGTGCCTGGCCTGTGGTCTCAGAGGCTGCTTCTGCAATGATGTTTGCTTTCCTTGAGTGTGTGGGTAACCTATTAAATACTCCTGGTTTGGTCCTTCAAGAGCCGTCATCAGAAGCGGGTAGAAAAATCTCTTCTCAAATGGAGAGAGAAACAACTGCCTGCCTAGCAAAGTGTACCAGCTTGGAAGGAAGGATCACAAGACCCATTCCTGGCATTCGCAGCCCATTTATTTTAGGGCCGGTTAGTCTTGCCCTGTGTTAAGAAGCAACAGGATTAGCAAGCTGGGGAGGGCTAGGGACTTTGATAATGTTAGAGGCTACATTCCTACAGCAAGTCTAAAAAAAAAAAAAAGAGCAAAAATATATTGGGAGCTTGGGGGTGGGTTTCCAAAAAGGACAACTTTTTAAAATGTTCTTATTCATCTGTCTGTGGCTGTTGCGTGTGTGGGGCTCAAAGAACAGAACAGAGTTCTAATATATTATGGGATCATTTATGCAAAGAGATGCTCCTTCTGAGAAATGAGTCCTGGCTACTCACCTAGTTTTGAAAGGACATCGAAAATTCTAAATAACCACATTGCTTTCCTAGCTTGGTGTCACTCTCAAAATTTATACATTGCAAACTTCTGAAACCAACCTGGCCCCTCCCTAACCACTGTCCTCTCCTGCTTTTAGGTAACACCTACATCGCACATGGAATACCTTTATTGTTTGTTTGTTTGTTTTTTTGTTTTTGTTTTTTAATTGATTGTTTAAACACAAAGGCCCTGGAAAGCAGGCCTGGTACTTTTTCTTTCACTAATGGTGTTTATCTAGAACAGCATGTGGGAAGGGGTCAGAATTAAATAAAATCCCAATTTCCATTTATTATTAAATTAGGATATATGCACTTTTCTGAATGGAATTCTACCTATATAGCTATGGGGTAAGAAAAACCAGCACTCTCTTCAATACAGTAAAACAGAAGCTGTTTTAAAACAAACAGATTCACTGAAAAGGCATTTCTGTTTTCACCCATTAAGAGACCACCCTAACATTAATGTAAACTGATATTCAGAAGCATGGGCTGAAATTAGTTAAATTACTTGACAGAACCATTTATTAAGAATTTGTTAAATCCCTCAAAACAAAACAAAGGTAGGGTCAGTAAACAAGTAGGAAACCTAATTCCCGAAGAGAAATGCCCAGGCCCGACTACTGAAAGGCACTGCACAGTCACTACAAGGAAAGCTTTTAAACAAACCAGACTGAACATTTGCAGCTTCGGAGAGGTGGTTCACACTGGGTTTAGCATGAGGGGTCTATGGGTATGAGTGACAGGGATTTTAAGTGGTATAGGAAGAAATCCTGAGCTCCGCCAACAGAAGTCACCTCTCTGCATCTTTTATGGTTTATATGTGAAAAGGGATTTGTTTTCTTGGCTACTGCAACTAAGATTCTACTTCAGCTAAAGGAAAGCAGGCGGGCCCATTTCACACCAAAGTCCTGGCCACTGTAAGCCTTTAAAAGAAGGCAATGTGTAAAGTTTGTTTTCGTAAATGAAATAATACTAAAACCAAAAGCTCACTCTATGCATAACTCATAGCCGTGTCTTTCAGGCGTAAAACTTCTGAGGTCAGGAAATTCCACAATGTGGGGAGCACTGTAAAAATAAAAGCCCTGTATGAGGACTGTGGGGTGCTAAAATGAGCCTCAAGTCTTAACTCATGTAAATGTGCAAAATAATTTAAAAACTATAATCACCCAACTATGCGGATGTATATTTATATGCATGAGCAAGTGAAGGCAGTGAGAAGTGTGGTCTTTTTTGAGTCACTCTGAACTGTTCTTCAGCCATGCTGCTCATCTTCCATCCCTCTTGCTCCACAGAGGGGTCTGCAAAGTGTGGCCTGCTGAGGAACGCAGACCAGTGCTAACAATAAAGGGTTTAAAAAAACACCCAACACACACGCAAAATGCAATAAAGACTATGAATGGCCCTCAAAGTCTAAAATATTTACTATCTTGTTTTTTTATAGACAAAGTTTACTGGCTCCTGCTCCACTACAGTGAAGTCCTGTTCCAAATAACCCATTTTACCACTGACTTAGATACTCCACAGTCATGTCGACCCAGGGCAGCACTCACCACAGGGCGCCTCAGGCCCAACTCCAGCTTAGGTTCCATCTGAGTTGCCTCTTAGAAGTGGCACTGGTTTCCCCTCAGCATAGGACAAAATAGCTCAGACGCATAAAAGTGATCGAAGTAAACATTCTAGTAATTACACTGCGCCAGGCATTCCACAAGGAACATCACTGCCTTAACACTGAGTTAAACTGTGGCATCCCACTTCTGTAGTTCGTTTGCCTTTTGTATTTCCTTTAGCAACAAGAAATGAGAAATGAACTCACCACACCATAGGAATACGTGTCACATGTTTCAGAAACAGGAAGACTTTGGATAACTTCTGGAGCCATCCACGGGAAAGTTCCAACCAAGGACATGTGTGTTGTATGGTTATGGAACCGAGAGGCACCGAAATCGCAGATCTGAGAAAATAGAAATAAGTATCAACTTTCCATGTCATGACTAATAAAAAACACAGTCATAAACAACCACCTCTGAAATTCACAATTTTTTAAAATTAAAAGAAATAGTCCTACCTTCAATACCCCATCAGCAGCTATAACAACTAAAAAAAAGAAAAAAAGAAAAATTATGACAATCATCTACTTTGTTGATCTTGAACTGAAAAACCATAAAGTCCTATTTCTATCTTCATATGGCATCACGATGGGTAAAATTAAAGTGGTTACTGCACTTTGAAAGATTCTGAAAGAAGGAGCTGACATGAAAACAAAATCAAAACAAGAATTCCATGAGGTACTTAAAACGGCTCCTAAGACATTTAGTTAAACCAAATGTAGTTCTGTCCAGCAAAAAACAAACAAAAAACAGATTAGTAGTAGTCCAGAGAACCAAAATTTTACTTGGGTTCTGCCGCTAGGCCACCAACAAGGTATTGAGGAAGTCAGTAGCATTATTACTTCACGGTATATATGTTTTTTTCCTCACAAGTGAAGAGTAATTTTCTTGAAGGCAGGGACAATATTCATTCATTCAGTTATTCATACATTCATTCATTTAACAAATATTTGCCGAGCAAAGCCATGTGCTCCATTCTGGAAGAAAAAGGTAAACAACACTATCATTGTCTCTGCTCTTATGGAGCTTAGAGTCTAATGGGTGAGACAATAAAAGACACAACTATATATATAAAAGCCTAAGCAACCACTTGACCGTCGGAGTGGTAGCTATGACATGCAATGACCATCAGAGGACAGACGCTTCGACTAGTAGCTATGATGCGCACTGACCACCAGGGGGTAGATGCTCAACACAGGAGCTTCTGAGTTGTGGTGACCTGGCAGCTGTGGTTCTCACCGGAACCAGAGAGGGGGGAGCCCAATTCTAGGGTGCATCACCAGAGAACCACCCTCTCACAATCCAGGATCCCTCAGGGGATGTCAGACTGCCAGTTTTACCCAATCCCCGCAGGCCAGTCCAAGGGACCCCACCGGTGCACGAATCCGTGCACTGGGCCTCTAGTCTATAATAAAGTGGGAGAAATTCCACGCTGAGAGGAGAGATTGCCATGCAACTAACAAGCAGGGATAGCTAACTGTAAGGAGGTCAGAGGAAGCTTCCTGGAAGAAATGATGCGTATGCTAAGACTGGAAGAACAAATTGGGATTAACCAGAGACTAGAGAGCTGGGGGAGAAAAGTAGTTTTCTAGGCACAAGAAAGAGCCTTACAAAAGGTTAGCAGAGTAAAAGACATGCGATTTTAGAAGACAGGGGCCAGCTCCAGAATTGCCTCTGAGAGAAATGGAAAGCCAGTGAATGTTTTTTAGTGAAGGAATGAGTGGTCAAATGTGCAGAGGGGAGAGTATATTGGAGGAAAACAGAATTGGAGGCAAGGAGATCACTGTGTGTGCCAGGTGTAGTCCAAGAGAGGGATGAGGATGCCTGTAGTGAGGCTGGGGGAAAGGGCAGATGTGGACCAAAGTCCAAAAACATGTAGGAGGCAGAACCAACTGGGCCTGGACAACTGGATCTGGGGGAGAAGAACTCAAAGATGCAATCAGATAAGGAGGCAATAGAGCATAATGGTTGAACAGGAGCTCTGGAATCAAGCTGTAATTCCTTTTCATCTAATTCCTGGTGTAGGCAGCTGGTATTGCCACTTCCCGAGAAAGAGAAGGCAGGAATAATTTTTTAGGGGATAGAGAGAAGATGAAAAGATCAATACTTTGCACTAAATACATTTTAGGGTCACATCAAATGTGGCCACATCCAATAAGCAGATAGATATATAGTTTTGAAGTTGGGGTCTGTTTGGGAATGTTAATATGCATATGGAGATTTTATAAGAGAGAGAGAGAATAAAAACATAAAGAGGGAGAGGAGTCCGGCCAGCATGGCTCAGTGGCTGAGCATCGACCAGGAGGTCATGGTTCAATTCCCAATCAGGGCACATGCCCAGGTTGCAGGTTCAATCCCCAGTGTGGGTCATGCAGGAGGCAGCGATCAAAAATTTTCTCCCATCATTGATGTTTCCATTTCTCCCTCTCGCATCCTCTCTGAAATCAATAAAAAAATATATATATACTTTTTTAAAGAGGGAGAGGACCAGGACCCTGAAAAACGAACTGTTTTTGGCATTTTTTTTGTAAGCCATGCAGTGTCTTGAACATGGTAGATGACAGGTACTTGTTGGCTGTTACTAATGACCTTGATGACTGGGGGGAGGGAGGGATAATCTTTGCATGATCTAATATATAGAAATAGGCTAAGGGTAAATGTAATACTATATATAAGCTATAAGCTATTTCAGATAAAAATGTAAATATTGTTAATACTATATTGTTATTTTAAAATCCATTACTTTTTTCTTATTACATTAAAAGTACTCATTTTTAAATATCTAAGATTATAAAGACATATAATACAGAAAATAAAAGTCTTGTTATTCCCTCTTCCAGAAAAAAAATAGGTCTATATTGTTTCAATGTGTATGTATTTTCCCGTCAAATAACTATACAAATTGTAGTTTTAAGAAATGGGGACATTCTCCATTGTTATTTAGTTTTCATTGTGACAGCATGAAAAAACACACCCATAATTTAATCATTCTCTTCTCATGAGATATTCAGGATATAGAGCTAAAGCAGATTAAAAAGAGAGAAATCAAATAACTTGCTTAGAGAGAAATTCTAAGAACTAAAAATTTTAAAGTCATAAAACTCTAATAGCTCCTTCAAGATTCTAGATTATTTTTAATGACTTCCTGTTAGCCAACTATATATCAAAAGTGTTTAACGCCTGAAGTTTAGGTCTAAGAAAAGCCAAAGGATAAGTGATAACCTAGAAGAAGGGCAAAACAATGAGCCACAGTCGATTGGCAGGGCCAACCTGGTGGGACAGCCTGATGAGTGGCAGTTGCCAACAACATCCCTTTCTCCACCCCCAGAGCCTCACAGTCCTGGAATAGGAGCAAGGGTAGCTGGTCAATTCCCTTCTCTTCTCCCTCCACTTACCATAACTACCCATTCTAAGGATGGCACTATTAGTATACACCCATTTTAACTGCAGTGATTTAAAATTTTCCTAAAAATAAATAGTTCTCTTCCTCCTTACTTAGAAGAATCACGTAGAAAGCATGTAAATGATTCAATTAAAGCATGTAATTGAATTGATAGCAAGGTGCTTTTTATAAGTAGCAAACTCTGATGTCTACTTCAGCTAGTGCTGGCTAGCCACATAATCCCACTGCCTTTTTCCATTAACTTTCAAGTGACGTGATGGAAGAAGCATTCTGTTCCACTCCTACTTGAAGGTAACTTACGTCTGACCCTGCAAGTCATTTTAAAACGCTCTCTCTCCATATTACAGGACCATACGTAAACTTTAGAAAGTTCTGAAGGAGAGAAGAAAGAAAGAGTAAGGCTTTAATTTCTAAACTCCTAACTGTGCTGATCACTTTTGGGCACCACTCCAGGTAACATGACTGCCATAAAAGATTTACACCAAATAATTCAGAAGCAACAAGGACAAAACTCAAAACCACTAGTACAGAGAACCGTCTAAAAATAGGAGACTAGAAATACACGACTTTGAGCTTTGATTCAGCAATTGCTCTTTCAGAAAAAGATTCTAAAAAAATAATTAAGAATGTGTTGAAAAATTTTGATGAAAAGTATTAAGCTCAACATTTTTTGTCATAGAAAACAATGTAAACAACCCACATATCTACTCGTACAGTGCACTATTCATACAGTGAGACACTATGCAGCCTCTTCAAATAACATGGAGAAGCTTGATATTTATTAAGAGTGGAAAGATTTTCATGGTATCAGTGGTTAGTCAAAGCAGCAGGTTGAAAAAGATATGAAAAGTATGATGCTTATTTTTATACATAAGTGCACGTATTTTGAAATAAAATAGGTAAAATAAAAACATTTACCGTTTCTTGATTTGAGATCTCTGTGAATCACCTTGACAGGAGCTTCCATATGTAAATAGTGCATTCCTTTTTATGCAGAGGGAAGAAAGGCCCATTAATACTGGTTTTCAACTCTGTATCAATATTACCTTTCTATTTTAAACATCAGCAGTAACATTCACATTTTGCAAAGGATTCAATAAAATAGAGGGAAGACGTGTCTACATGAGGCCTGATAAAATAGAGACAAGATGTGTCTACGTAAGGAAAATTCATATGCTAAGGAAGACATATGTGCTTTGATCTCTTGGAAGTTGGAATTTGATTGTGGGTAAAGCTAGCTTCTTACAAGACCTAATAAGGACACCTTATTTTCTGGAGTCTGCACGAAAATAGCACAGTTACAACTGGAAGAATTGTTCCAATGACTAAGGTATTCCACTACCACTGCCTTCTAAATCGGTAAGTTCTGACCGAGGTGTTCTGTTTTCGTTTGGATGTCTCCAGTCACCCAGTTAGTTGCAGCTTGGCTTATTTTCCCAATGCTCATTCCAGTGAGACCCTGGGAGGGGAGGTGGGGCGCTGTGTGTGTGTGTGTGTGTGTGTGTGTGTGTGTGTGAGAGAGAGAGAGAGAGAGAGAGAGAGAGAGAGAGAGAGAGAGAGAGGGAGAGAGAGAACTGGCTAGATTCCTTAGCTGTGATTGCTAAAGGATTTTATGATCCTCAGATAGGAAAAAATCTTATAGTAGTTACAAAATATTTTATCCTTCTTACAAGAATAAATCTTTGAGATAATCTATATTTATAGGGACTCCAAATTTTTCTTCAACATGTTTAGAATATAAATCAAGTTACTTCAGTAAATTGGATCCACAGAAATTAAATAGAGTTTTATTATTTTGAATAAAAATTATACTTTGAAAAACATATTTCACACTTACCCCTTTAGTAGTATTTGACTCTTTTTTTGTACTTATGTATTGTCTACCCCATTAGAATAAAGATAAAGAACATTTTCTACGGAAAATTTCCGCTCTTTTTATTTCTCACTCTGTCTTTTCTAAGTAATAGAAGAAACAGCCCCTCCCCTTTCCAAATCAGACAGGCTCCTTTTTGAAATAAATTATCCGTTAAACATAATAGATTTTGGTTCTTTTTTAAGTACACAGAGAAGTTCAATTTTATAAAGGTTAATTGTAAAAATAATCTATCATATTTCTACTAATCTGATTATTACATATTGAAGAATTATGAAAGAACAAAGAATATAAGAGAATTTAAACACCTGCCATATAAAGATATTCCTGAAAAGAGTCAACTTAACAAAAAAGTAGTACTAATTTAAATGATGCTAAACACAATGTAATTGGAATAAAGGAAATCTAATAAGTTCTGCATACTACAAACTGTGAAAATTCAATAGCTACAACTTGGGTAACTTTCAGTAATTTTTATGACTGCATTTCATAGTTCTCTCTCTCTTGCTTTAAGAATCAAATTCCTGAATTACTGTTTTCAGGTAGAACTGGTTTAATTACTATTAGAAATACAGCTAGACAGTTTCTACACTTGTGACAAGTAAGGATTTCAAAAACAACACTCAAGTACAAAAGCTTTAAATATTGGCACTTTTCTCCTCATGGCAGATATTATGAAAAGAAGTAGCATAAATTATTGTGTATAATACACAGCACACACTTACAGAATATTCAGTGTTCATAAACATGGTAGTAATCACAATCATATAAAATTCTATTTAATTTGTTTTTACAGTGCCATCTGTAATTCTGCCTTATTTTTATTGTAAACAATTAAGAAGGCTGAAAATACCTTCATTGGTTTTTAAGATCCAGGGTTTCCTAAAAAATATTTGACTGGTATCATTTGGGAGAGATCTGGAATCAATGATGACCATTTTGAGTCTGGATGTAGGTTTATCTGCTTTAATTGTTCTCTTACACAATGCTCATTGACTTGCAAAAGTTTCAGATATACTTGCTGGCTTGCCCTCCTCCACTCCTCTCTCCACCCCTCTTTCCATCCCAAAAGAAGAGAATCTCTTTGGTTTTGAGAGGCATTCTCTCTGTAGTGATGCTGCAGTGCCTATGTCAAAATGCATGAACCAACTCTTCCTTAAAATGAATTATTCATTCTTTGATTTCTCAGCATCTTGTTACTATAGTGCCTTTAATCTTGGTCAAACTGAAATTTGACAAGCTGAATTTGTAACAGAATAAATGAAAATCAAGCCTTCCTATTTAATCTCCAACTTCTACATATAGCTTTATCGGAGAGCTTTGAAGTCATTCCAATAGCACTGACGTCTTCTTCCTTTTATAGCCCATCTTAAATAGGAAGTATGACTTGTAACTGTAAACAAACAAGTATCTTCTCTGCCTCACTCTACTGGCGTTGGCCAAGCACATTAGAACTTGCCTTTTGCATCAATTCACCGGCCACGAAAACGTGATCTTATTACTTTGTAGTTTTGGACATTGTCCCATGATCCACTCCCGTTCTCTACATCCCTGTTCTTTGCCTTCGGTTCCAGTTTGCTACTTAGTCCTGTTTCTTCTCCTCTTTGTCCCCTGACGTAGAGTGCCGGCGGTCTTGAGAAACCCCAGGAATGACAGGTGATCTGGAGCCGAGGGACCACCCCTCAGTCAGGGACTATGCAGGGGAAGGGGCCAGGAGGGACGAGGTTTACAGGCTGGGGGCCAAGCAAGCTTAAATACAGTGTGCACAGCAGGAACCAGAGTGACTGATGTCAGCTGGTTTATTGGCTGTCTGTCCATCCTAAGTGCCATTAAGTAATAATATAGGTGTTATAGGCTGAGCTTACCCCTAAATGCAAATGTCTGTAAGGTGAAGTGCTTTAAGTCAAGGACTGCTTGTATATGTACTTACATTCATGTCAGTGTATTTCCACAGTGCTTCAGGCAGTTCCCAGTAATAAATAACCCTGCTTACAAACAGGTGGTCCCTGTGTACTACTGACATGCAGAGAAGTGACTGTGATGTTACATGAAAATGTCTTGAAGAATGTGAAATTTTAAGGCTGATCTGAGATGCCTGATGCATGAATACACAATTAAGTTAATTAACACAGCCAAAGTCTTAAGTACACCATCCTAAGCATAAAGCTTACTGTTATTATAATATAATGAAATATCATTTAGCAGCAGCATTTAGCACGAAACTTAAAATTTCCCCCCCACTTTCTTTATTTGAAGAATTTGGCAGGTGGTGATGAAACTTAAAACAGACAAGATATTTCCCCAAAGGAAAGACTATTATTACTTTTGGAAGTCACTGTATGACTTCCCAGCTTATAGAATCTGGAGTAACAAAACTCAAAGGAGTTAATTGCCCGAGTAACAGGCTTTCTAGAGGTTGCTAGAATACAAATATAACTATCAGTGTTCATTATTTAGATTATGTTGTTTCCAAAGCAACTTTGACAGTTATAAATAAAACTCAGAAATGTTCAGTTGGGAAAATGGAAAAAAAAGATAAAAATAAATGGAATTTAAATTGCTTCAGAAAGCATTAGTGTATGCAAGAATTTATGAGGGAAAAAGAACTGGGCACCTTGTTTAGGGATTTTGTGCATTAAAAATATATAATTTCCAAGGGTGACTTCCAAGTTTACATTAAATATAAAATAAAATCTGAATTGCTTGTACATGGCAGCACAAATCACAATTTTTTTGCAAGTGGTTACTATTTTTAGTGTATTACTATGTATACAAAATGAGTAGAACTAATCCTATAATAAATCATGTTTTCTGGATACTGAGTCTAAGTCTCTACTTGCAGAACAATAATAGGATTATGATCTTTCCACTTAATGTGTCAAGCAAGCTCATCGATTACATTGGTAAAAAATGTAGTCAAAATGGCTGTTCTGGAGACACTGATTTTGTGGGGACTTGGCTTTAGGGAAAGAAATAAAGTAAAAGATGGAAAGAGAGAAAAGGAATGCGTGAGTGGAAAGGCAATGACTTAAAATATCTATACAGTAAGTTGCAGAATTCTTGCTACTTTTGGTCTAAAAAAAGAACTTATAAAAGACATAGAAATACAAATCTTCCGATTTAAGTCGCCATGTCAGGATGGGACATCCACCAATTCTGCAAGAATTCACGAAGGATTAGTATTACCTTTGGCTACATCGGTGGCCCAGGTCATAATGTGTTCCATGTCCATCTCTTCACTTCTGTTGCTGTTAATGTAATCATACAGTGATCCCAGGGAAGCATATTCTATTTTTAATGGAAAGATAAGCATTTAATTAAAAATAAGGGGCATCTCACAAATAAACCTTGATCTTTTCATTGGGGAGATGTATTAAAAACTTAACAAAAGACATCAAAAGTATATAAAAATATACTTTTCTAAAAGTGTTTTCTAAAAGTATAAAAATATACTTTTCTAAAAGTGGTTTCTAAAAGTTAGTCTTATCCTGGAAAGAAAACTGTCCAAGACAAGCACTACCAGAATGAATAATCTTCAGCCAAGGACAAAATCAAAAGTCACTTAAATGGAACTCAGAAACACAAAAGTGTATTGGAAGAATGTACTGGAAGCAAAGGCAGACATGTAAATAGGTATGTCTTTTAAAATGGTTATCCTTATAAGATAGATAAGACTAAACACAAGTCAGAGTTTATATGACAATGTAAATAAATCAACCTTACAGCACCAGAATTTAGAACAGCCCTTAAAATTTAGCACAAATGGCCAAGAAAGTGAGATAATGCCTTTAAAAATGGCTTTGAGGTGTAAATTACATACCATAAAATCCACTCACTCTAAGTACAATTTGATGATTTTTAGTAAATTTATATAGTTGAGCAATCACAACCACAATCCAACTTTTAGAACCTTTCCATCATCCTAAACTGTTCCCTCTGTCCATTTACAGTTATTTACCACTCTCATTATCTATTTTCTGCTTTCTCTGTGCCTTTTCTAGATATTTCATATAATGGAATCTACACTATAAGGTCTTTGTGTCTTTCTCTGTGTTCTTTCTCTTCACATAATGTTTACAAAGTTCATTCATACTGTAGCACATATCAGCACTTTATTCCTTTTTATTGCTGAATAATATTCCATTGTATGGATTTACATTTGGTTTATTCATTACCACTTGAGAGGTATTTGGATTGTTCCCAGCTTTTGGCTATTATGAATAATGCTGCTATGAAAATTTTCATAAATGTATTTGTGTGGAAATATATTTTCATTTCTCTTGGATAGATTCCTAGCAATGGAATTCTGGGTCATATAGTAAGTTTAACTTTTCTTGTAAGGCAGGATTGCTAGCAATAGATTCTTTCATTCTTTATCCAAGAATGTCTTTATTTTGATTTCATTTTCAAAACATAATTTTTATGGATACATTTTTTTTCTTTTAGCACTTTAAATGTTTACTCCCCTTTGGCCTCTATTGTTGTAGATGAGAAGTCAGTCATTAATCATATTGTCATTCCCTTGTACATGAGACATTTTTTCTTGCTACTTTCAAGAATTTTCACTTGGATTCTATCAACAGTTGGACTATGATGTGTCTAGTGTGTTCTTTTGCCTTTATCCTACTTAGAGTTCATTAAGCTCTTCAAGTATGTAGAAAAATGCATTTTATCAAATTCGGGAAGTTTTTTTGGCCATTATTTCATCAAGTAGTTTTCTATTTTTTATTTTTATACCATTCTTCTCTTATTTCTTTGCTTTATACATTAATTGGTATACCTGATGTTGTCCCATAGGTCTTTAAGTTTCTGTTAGTTTTTCTTCAACATTTTTATTTTTCAGATTAAATAATTTCTATTGACCTAGTTTAAAGTTCACTGATTTTTTCCTCCTATCTCAATTACGCTAAGTCAATTCTAGTGAATTCTGAATTTCAATTATTGTCTGTTTAAACTCCAAAATTTTCACTGAGTCCTCTTAAAAAAAATTTCTATTTGATGAGATTCCCTATTGGTTGATTCATTGTTTTCACACTTTCCTTTAATTCTTTAAAGTCTCTTCTAGTTCTCTGAACAATGATGCTTTGATATTTTGGTATTATTGAATCCAATGTGTTAATTTGAAGAGGCAAGGTTAGTGCTATCATCTCCCAACCCATCTAGTTTCTCAAACTTGGCTCAGTTAAGTACTACTACCCAGGCACAGAGTATGGCTAGATCCTAATCCTGCAGAAGGTTGGTTGAAAAGTTCACATATTTTTTTGATAGATACTTGTAAACAAACAATTTAATCTAGCACCTGTAGAAACAAAGACAAATTAACACATTTTAACATCAAAATTTGGCTAAGATAATCAACCTCATAGGTCAATAAAAGAGCTATAAATACACAACTTACAATTATCTCACAATTTTGAAACTTGTATTGTTTTAAAGAAATGATTATTGTCCATATTTAATATTACTTACTGGCCTTACAGGTAAACAGGTATAGATCTAAAAAAAGAACTAGTCACTGATAACCAAAGATTTTGGGTACAAATAGGTATGAGTAGAGAATATTAGAAGGATTCATGAAATAAAGGACTGGCTAGTCTATTTTTTAAAAAACCACTAAATATAATCAAACATACTCATCCAATTACTTGGATTCTTTCTCCCTCTTTTGGATAAGACAGTTTCAACATGCTAGCTAAAAATGACTGTTCCATATCCTCCTAGGGACTGAGAGTAAACTCTTGGAAAAAGGATTCACATCATGACCCAAGTCTTTTTTTTCTACTCTTCATCCTCATCTCAAATGAAACTAGGAAACTTCCTGAATAGTCCACTGAGTGAGTTAAAGTTAAAAATCTCATCCTCAAAAGCATTAAGCATGAAGGGCACAAGACAAAAGCAGAGTTTCTAACCTCTTTGGAGCACCACACTATCATCGACTAGGTAAGAATAATTTAAGCTACATACGAGGATCAGAAAACTGGGTTCAGATTTATAAGGTAAACACAACCTGTAAAAAAGTAAATACAATAGACTAGGAAACAAAGAGCAATATGGGAACTGGGTCAGACACAGGGTTTAATTTTAAATTAGAAGTCTGGTCTACAAGGTTAAGCATGGCTAAGACCCTAACAATATAACCCTTTATTGGGTATTCAAGTTAATAGAAAAAATATAAGCTCAAGATAAAAACTGCCACATACCTCATTTTAGGCACAGATCTAAAGATAGCTAATTGGGGATAAAATACCCACTACTTAAGGTAAAAATACCACTTATCAGAGTAAAAGCATGTTAAAATGCCTGCTATCAGAAGATGGAAATAACAGCAGCCATCCCCTTTGAGTTTAAGAACCAGTGTAATCACAGCTTGCACACAAGAAGAGGAACTTCTGTACAAGATCAACCTGAGAAATTGCTACCACTCTGATTCTACCACTAACGGTGACCTTGGCAAAGTTACTAAAGTTAAAATTTTAGGCTCTTATTTGTAAAACGAAAATTAATTTACCCATCTCATAGGATTATTGTAAGTATTAGATGAAATAATTGATAAGAAAATATCGAATCCAATCCATTTCATTGAGTGTGTTTAGTTGTTAAGTTCTTACCACTAGAGTAGAAGATAGGGCTAATCTTTTAAGGCAAAGGACTGCCATGATAAATGGCCTGATCAAAGTTATTTACTGTAAAATTGAACATTATACTTATTAAATACCTAAAGCTGCTGATTGGATTGTACAAGCATGAGTATAAAGCAGTGGTTCTCAACCTTCCTAATGCCGCAACCCTTTAATACAGTTCCTCATGTTGTGGTGATCCCAACTATAAAATTATTTTCGTTGCTACTTCATAATTGTAATTTTGCTACTGCTATGAATCCTAAATATCTGATATGCAGGATGTATTTTCATTGTTACAAATTGAACATAATTAAAGAATAGTGACTAATCACAAAAACAATATGTAATTGTGTGTTTTCCGATGGTCTTAGGCGACCCCTGTGAAAGGGTCGTTCGACCCCCAAAGGGGTCGCGACCCACAGGTTGAGAACCGCTGGTAAAGTATCTAAAAAATATGTGTGTTTTTTATGGCAAAATTTTCTGTGTGCTCCTTTTTGGAAAGGACAGTTCCATCAGTTATAAACTGCTGTTCCAAATTATGTAGTAAGTTAGATCAAGGTCATTACCAACCCAGATAACCAAACCTGAAAAATACTGTTCTCATGTCAGAGACCTTGAAGAAAGAATACTCTAATGGGATTAAAACGTCTTGCAAAGAATTATAACATGAATAGCTCAAGAAATCTTAATTTGTAAAAGGTCACAGTTACAAAAAACATAGCTCATTTCAACTAATTAAATGAAATTTTAGTTAAACGGCACCTTTAAATATTGGTATTGCAGCTGCAAGTGCATTTAAATAGCATTTACGCAGATATAATTAGCACAATTAAACATTGGTAGAAGTGGAAACACCATTCTTAATTATATTGATATAATCAGTTTTATTAATGCTTTATAGCAACAAAGGTGACATCTGATAGTAGCACACAATTCATGACTAAACCTAATATTAAACATTTTAGCATATTAAGGAATCTAAAGCTAGATAATTGGGGAAAGAAAATCAAATAATGAGTTCCTACCTGTGACGATTCCATAGTTGGGAGGTTCAAGAACTACTCCATAAAACTGGATGATGTTTCTGTGACTGAGGACACTGAGTATTTCTGCCTGTATAAAAATAAAAAATAAAATTTCACATTTATAAAAGTTTAATGAAATAGGTTCCCTACTTATTTTTTTACATACATTTACAAGATAAGTAAGTATAAGTATATGATGCTGATAAAACTCTTGTGTTAGCAGCATTCTTGAAAGGTTAAGAATTTCTATTGAACCTTTCTGAAAATTTAAAACTGAAATGGGGTTGAAGTGGCAACAAGAGAGGAGCCGACTAGCAAGCCAGTTCAACTGATGGTGAAGGAAGATGACTGAAGAGGGCGGTACCATATTTATTTGAAGTGAAAGTCCTCTTCCTAATAGTCAAATATATTTCTTCTGCATAATGTCTCTTCTCAGAGGCTGCAGCAAGACGGAACTTCTACCAGTTGGATGAATAGTCATGATAAAATTTAGGTAGAGGTTTTTAACTATTAATGGAACAGATTCAAGTAATATCTATTTACATTATTTATCTAATCATTCACTAAAAATGTTATTTCTGACCCTGGCCAGGTAGCTCAGTTGATTAGAGAGTTGTCTTCATGCGCCAAGGCTGCAGGTTTGAATCAACCAATGAATCAACCAATGAATGCATAAAAATAAATGGAACAACAAATCGATGTGTGTGACTCTCCCTTTCTTGCTAAAATCATTAAAAAATTTTAAAAATGTTATTTCTCTCCTACTGTATGCAAAAGTTACTATAAAGGCTAGAAAGGTGGATTATTCACTTACAGCTCTGACTAGATGGGGAAGCCATATTTTATACTTTAAAATATATTAAACACTAGAAAACTGTACTGTGGAGTGACATGGTAAAAAAATTATATTTATTAAACTTAATTTCTGAAGTGGAAAAGAGATAGTAAATTTATATCTGGTGTGTGTGGCATTTAGAAAACACTACTCCATGGACCCTGAGCTCTGATGTCCTCACTGATTCCAAGGTTCCATGATTCCATGAGAATATGATGGCAAAAGACAGCAAAGCGGCTCATCCAATCATTCAGAGGAAACAGTCTCCTTACTGCATTGCATTCAAGGTCAAAAGCTCTCTCCAAAGAGGACCTCCAAAATATCAATATGATCCAGGGTCAGTCTATTTCCCCCAAATTCAAGAAGCTCTGAGATGATCCCACATTTTACAAAAATAAAAATTATACATATAGAAGGGAGATCGGGAAGAAATTAAACAAAATATTAATTGTGGATATCACTAGGTAAGGAGAAAGATCCTACGTGATATTAAAGGTTTGTATATTCCCAAATTCTTTATAATAAGCCTATATAATTTTAAAATCAGAACAAGTAACACATGATTATTTACAAGTACTATGTATGACTAGAACATATAAATATAAAAATATTTATTTGCACGGAAATTCTGATTTTCCTAGGAGAGAATTAGGAAGAATCAAAACTCTTGCCTTATATTCACAGGACTCCATTAGGCATATAAAAACTAGTTTAGTCTGGCTGTGGTTGTTCAGTGGATTGAGCGTCGTCCCATGGACCAAGAGGTCCTGGGTTCAATTCCCAGTCAGGGCACATGCTTGGGTTGCGGGCTCGATCCCCAGTAGGGGGTATGCAGGAGGCAGCCGATTCATGATTCTCTCTCATCATGGATGTTTCTCTCTCTCTCTCCCACTTCCTTCCTCTCTGAAATCAATAAAAATATATTTTAAAAAAAAAGAATGTCAGTCGATCAATTATATAACCACAGAAGCTACATTTGAAATTTGTATTTACCAGCTCGCTGCTGATTTAAACTTTCAGAATGAAGACTTTGCCTGTTGCAGGGTCTGCAGTCCATGGCAATTAAATGAGCAGTTTCTTGACAGGCTTGTCTTGGTTATTCTCCAAGCATGCCCTTGCCTTGGCATTGTACTTTTTCAGATTCAGAATGCAGAGATTGCTTAGGCTTAACCCTTCCATTTCCAGTTTTCTACCTAATACATTTGATCATTTATTTCCAAAACCACCTCTGCAGGTAAGCCAGCCTTTTGTCAAGTCCACTGTTTCCCTACCCACAGTGGCCGGTGCTCCTCTCCCACACACTGAGAAGGGAGCCCCAATTCTCAGGAGTGGGGCTACATTTCAAGCAGGTTCCCTGCTACAGACTGAACGTGTGCCTCTAAAATTGATATGTTGAAACCTAACCCCCAATGTGACCAGGTCTTTGGGAGGTGGGCGCTATGAGTGTGGAGCCCCTGTGAATGGGATCAGTGCCCTTATAAAAAAGGCCGAGGATTGTTCTCTCACCTCTTCCACCACACGAGGAGACAGCAAAAAGACAGCCATCTGTGAGCCAGGAAGCAGGTTCTGAGCAGACACCCAATCTGCTAACGCCTTGATCGCAGACTTCCCAGCCTCCAGAACTGTGAGGAGTAATGTTTGTTGTCTACATGCCTCCCTGTCTTCAGTCTTCTGTGAGAACAGTCCAAATGGACTAAGACAGTCCTCTTCATAGGACTAGGCTGGCATAAAAGTCCACAGCTACCGAACTAGGCCTCTCATGAACAGAACGGCTTCGAAAAGACACTGCCACTGTACTCCTCAGGACAGCATGCCTCTCGTCTTCGTCACCAGAGCCCCGAGCCATTGCACTTAGCGGCAGGATATCAGGGACAAGGGAACTTCTTGATTTAAGGACTCCTAGAACAGTGTTTCAAGTCTATAAGACCAAAACATCTAGCTCTTACAGGCCAAGGAGGGGTAGGACTTCCCCTCCTTTCTGCTTCAGGCACTGATTATAAAGATAACTGAGGCAGAATGCTCAATATGAGGAATTATAAGATTTACATGCACCAGGTCACACAAACCAGGATCAAATACAACACAATGCTGTTTAATTAACTGCGTTTTCACCCCAAGCGTATCATGGTAGAGGCATTTTCCTAACAGAAAAACTGGATTCTTACACGTATGGCAAGATGGAAAACCAGGCCCTCTCCTCCTAAAAATGCAGCGTACAGGAACAACTTAAAAAGTAGGCTTGACTTTCAATCCTGTATTTAATCACCAGAGTGTCATGCACAGGTCATGCTCTTTGAGTCACGTTAGGCTTAATGAGACCCATTCACTAACTCAGTCACATGACAAGCAGCAAACCTCACAGTTCTGTAGGTTCTCTTTCAAAAGCTGCCCTGTAGGTATTCAGGGAGATAAAGAAGGACAAATGAATCGAATTCAGGTTCCATAATTTGAAACGGCCTATATTCCTAATGATGTTTCATGTCATGAAAACTTTTCTCTGGCAGGAAAATGGCTAGAAATACTAAGAAAAAAATAAGCCAGTCATTCTGTGCACTCCCGGGGACGGCTGAGCAGAGCCCTGTGGGATTTATTACGAACATCCCCACTGCTGGGAAGCCCACTGCTCAGTGCGTTCCTGGGGGGCTGCAGCAGCCTCACTGCATGTGGCCACTCGGAGACCAGCCGGGGCTCCCCTCCAGCAGCCAGGCTGCTGCCTCGTTAAGTACACACCCAATTCAGGGCAGACTCACCTGGCAGGATGGGAGGGTGGCTCAAACGGAATGAAACAAATAGCAAAGATTTAAGAACGGGGATTGGAGAGCTATTTCCAAATCATCAAAAGACTAAGAGATTTTACAGTCTTCGTGCCCACAACAGAATGTCACTGTGATGATAGGACAAAGTCAAATATATTGTAAACAACTTGTACTTAGTTTGGATGACAGAAGCATATACCAAACCCCAGATTTCCACTTAACAACCTAGGTAATTTGGTCAAAGAAATAACTTGGTGCTAAAATTACACGGAAAACCTCCCTAAAGGGAGCCTATAAATCAGTCCCGAAGTATGAACTAATGAAGGATTAAGCTTCTAAAAAACTGAATAGCAATATAATTTAATTAAATAGTGACTACATGAGTGGAAATTTAAATTCTAGTTCCAAAATAGATGGCCCTAAAAGCCACCTGGTCACCCTGGACCTTGCTTTCCTAGTAAATGACTTGGTTGGACAAATTATTTTCCAGATTCCTTTATGCTTTAAGTTTCTATGCATTTCTGTAAAATAAAAAAAGTATTACTAACAGTTCTTTTCACAGAGTGGGTACTCGATAAATATTTGATAAGCTGAACTGAGATAATTAATCATGATGTATTAGGACATTCTCTAGAGTCAAACAGGCTTGAGCGTGAGCCTTGGCTGTCATTCACACAAGCGAGGTGACTTTGAGGAAGTTATTTAACCTCTGTGGGCCTCAGTCTCCTCATTTGTAAAGTGGGGACAGTAATCCTAGCCCAGTGCCCAGCAAATGCCAGGTGCTCAACTCATGCTAATTCCTTTCTCTGACACCTTACCCTTCCTTTATAGTCAGTTTTCATTTGCAGTGCAGTCAAGCTTATGGGCAAATCCAGATCTCTCCTAACAGTGGATTCCACCTTCATTTTAATTAGCTTTGTGTATTTATTATACCCGACCTTCCATGTTTACCTATGTTTTTACCTCAACATAGCACTTTAACATTCCAAAGCACTTAGTTGACTCTCACAAAGAAGTTATTTTATCATATTTAGATTTTAAAAAACTAGGCTTTTGATTGGATTTGTTCAAGCTCACTTTCCAGCTTAGTCAATGTCAGTAATAAAATATGAATCTAGGTTTCCTACCTCTGACTCTTTTTATGTATTTCTCCCCTCTCTCTTTAAAGGAAAAGCCCAATAAAAATATGAGTCCTTTCATCTACACTTTTTATTTATTAAAAGCTGCTCTTGCTCCAAGAGATTCTAATTTACAGACTCCTCTATAATAACACCTAACATTTACTGAGTGCTTACTATGAGGTAGGCAAAGAACTTTACGAAGATTAAACCTTTAAATCCTCACAGCAAACCATGAACTTGGGCCTACCACTATCTAGGCACAGAGAAATTTAAAAACCTGCCCAAGAGCATAGTAAACGGCAAAGCCAGGTTTTTAACACACATAGGTGATTTCTAAGCCCTGCTTATAATCACTAAACCACCCCACTGTTCTTTA